CCAAGCAGCATGTGTTGCCCACTTATCGGTAGCTGACATGCAACATAAATGCTTGAGCAACCCTCGTGATATATAACATTGTACTATTTTTACCATGACGTCAATGTGCATATATACATATATATATATAGCAGCATAGATCAAGACAACGACCATACAGACATAGCTCAAAATGCCTTCAAGCAAAACAAAACCAACACCTTATTCAGAAGGTCCCAAAATCTGCAGTTCAAAGAAAATAGATATTCAGATGTTTTAACATAGCTACGAGTTCTGTATCTCGTTCCCAGAATCTCTGACACAGTCAACGTTAAATGTCAGCCGTAACGGATACGCCTAGGCCGATTATTTTCTCCTCAACGTCCATTTTGCTGAGGTTACTGATGACGTCATCACTTTATGCGTACCACCTGTCGTCCATGTTTGTTATACAGTACGTAGGTTTTCACGTGGTCTTGATGTGCCCTGGGATCGGAGATAACGCATGTTGTGTCGGGAAAAAACTTTGCCCCGCCACCTATTTGCAAAGATAGGCTGTTTAACACAAGTGTATTACATCGTCACTGGTATCGGCGCACGGGTGGCCCAGTAGTCTAAGCCGCAATTCGCCGTGCAGTTGTGTCCCTTTGGCGTACCAGGATCCTATGATCGTGGGCTCGAATTCCAGATTCGCCCAATTGTGGTTCTTGATTTGTCGGCACTTAAACACGTCATCGAGGGTTTGACCAAAGAAGTAAACGCGTTAGCCCTGTATCTTCGGGGCTGCCTTCCACATCAAGCTGACACCCCGTGATATAAAGTTTCACCCACTAATTCATTCACGCACGCACGCACGCATTATTTATTTATTTATCTACAACCTACCTACATATATATGTATAGAGAGTGACGGAGATGACGACAAAAATCCATAAATCCTAGACCGCAGAAATGTAAAAATAAAGTTGGCCTAAGCGAACCCGCACGAGGAGACGCACAACTTGCCTCGCGCAAGCAACATCACACGCATCATAGATCACTCAATCAAGCACACTATTCCACCAGTAAACACAGAACAAAACCTAAAGCAAGCGCACTTATGGGAATTACCTCCAAAAACTCTGTATACTCTCGCGGTCTTCCACTACTTTAACTCCCTGTGCTCACCTTCCAAAGTGAGAAGGAGAATCGCAGCTGTTATTTAGTCTCTTAGAGTTACCTCGTTTTTTAAACTTTAGCTTGGGTGAATGAGTTTGGTTTAACGTCGCTTTGAACAGTATTTCAGTTATATCACGGCGCGTAAGCTTGATGTGAGAGAAACCAGAAAGAACAGGGATACTACACGTTTGAAGATCTTATGTCGTTACATGTTATTAACATCAAAGATTGCGGTGAAAATCGGGATCTTTATCATTTTACCGATTTTATACTCATTAAATCAATTGTCAGTGACTCCGTGGCATCTGATTGGCTAAAATTCGAAAAAGGATTAGACCAAACCCACTAACAGGCTCCTGATTCTTGACTGGCTGATAATAAAATGGACGGGACTTAAACGGGATATTAAGTCATATATTTCGAAGAATTGACTGCAAAATGTCTTTGTTCTTATGGAGTTATAAATGTGAAAACAGATGCGCACACTTTGCGTTAATCCTCTACGCTACCTTTATACCAGGGGAAATGATGGCTTTGATACGAGATTCAGCTGAAGTTGGATCAAACATTCTTAAAAAACATAATCACCATTTTGACCGTAACTAAATATCTCTCCCAAAATGGATGTTTGGGTTTAAAGCATCCATATAAATCTGTTCAATATCATCACGTTTAAAAAAAATGTTTCTCAGAATAACTTTTATCGAAAGCTGCATATATAAAAGACAGAAATTAATTGAATACACTTGAATGACGCGGGTGTGTTTAACTGAGATTAAATATTAATAGAACACTGGTACGTGCAAACACATGGGCGAACTCAACTCGCTTATCTCTAGAGAAATAATGCACTTGGGGAGTTCTCCACTTTCTGAAAGACGATGGGGTAATGCTTCTAAAATATTCTCTATTTAGAATGATTATTTCCAAAGCTGTAGACAAGTCCCCGGTTTGCTGTTTATATTCAAAGTAAGATAGTCGGGTCGCCAAGTTGCGATATCCGGCTTGATTAGATTGAGTGTAATGCAGCGTTGAGTACGTGCAGAAGTGCATACGTCAGCGTTGTCACAACACCCTACGTATCTGGGACAGACAAACCATTAGTGTCAGAATCGAACCGCGCTACCCAGACAAGATGTAGTACGGTCACTCACAACTAAGAGGCGCGTGTCCTAATCAGCTGATATCCACAGCGGTTGTATTTCATGTAACTGCGATTTTCACAAGTATAAGAAGTTCATACTGAATGTTCCCTTATTGCGGTTATCCAGCAATTACGTCTCCTTTCTGTCCTCTACTCACTTTTTGATAGGGATATTCCGTGTCCAGACAGGAACTGAACGTGACTAATGGGAGAAGTTGTCATACAAATAGCATTCATATTGCCTTGGAACTGACTCATTTTCAGTTTCATTACAAAATGATAAGTAATTTATATAACATTCCCTTAATATCAGTGTATTGCTTTTCCTTTACATTTGAGAATTTGTTTCACAAGCTTTAGATCTGGTAATTTTAGACTAATGATATAAACAGGAAGATACACAAATATACCATGCCATTCATGACAAAATGTACATAGAAGACGAAATTCATGTTTTGCTTGTATGTGATGAGCATACCTCTCTTAGAGGTACATTAGTAAATACATCAGAAATGACAGTACAGTTAACGTTTATGAATATTATGACACTCAAGTAGACAGACGATAAATGATGTCTATATATCTATTGAATGTGCAAAAATACCACTTAATGTACCTATTTTCTAAGAATACTATATGTGATATGTGTGTCTGTGCTGTTTGTGTGTATATGTCTGTGCATGTATTTGTTTACCTCATACAAAGAAAACTACCAATTGCACCCTTTCCTCCTTGTGTGTGTGTGTGTGTGTGTGTGTGTGTGTGTGTGTGTGTGTGTGTGTGCTGAGAAATGGAAGTTCTATATGTCTGTATTGTGGAATTTGCGCCATTGGCCTCTACATTGAATATATTGTCTTGTCTTGTCTTGTCTTGTCTCCCTTAAGCAGCTGATTTAAGTTTTGTTATCACACTATCCCCTATCTAAAGTTGAGTAATATATTGTAAATATCCTTGACATATTCGCTACTACACATGTTAGCGTCGTTTTCACTCTTACATGGATGACGCGGCGTTGAAAGTGACCGCCAGAGAAATTCAATCTGTGAGCAAGTTGCCGATAGAAGCGATGAGTGATGTTGCTTGTCGCCTCTAAGCCAGCGTAGTGACTGGGGATACGGCCGATTGATATCGGATTTACCAGTTTACAAAGCATCTTCACCCCAACGCCACGCCACCCCAGAATATGAAATCGTCGTCCCCTTAATAATAATGTTAGTGTGGCTGTTTATTATTGGAGGTCGTAGACGTTTACAAATTTGGTTAGGTCACGCGAGATTCGAACCCAGGACCTTGACCTTGTATGACGACCTTCACTGAGAAGAACGGAAGTAGTTGCATTTTTATGTTATTTGATGCTTGTGAGAGGGCTGGGCATGGTGTGTAGAGAAGTAGGATTTCACGTATCAAAAAGTTCACGCCCAAGAGCACGGGTATGAGGTCTGACAACAGGGGGATCGTGATCTGGGCGTATCTGGTCTTTGAACAACAGGGGCCCACTGGACAAACACTTAGTTGCAACGTGGCTGGTTTCGTGTCATTCGAGCCGAAGCCATGGGCCGCTCCTGCCATCAATGCCACATTTATATTCTATGTTGCCTGTGTTCATGGTGAAACTGCAGTTGTTACCGACCACGGCGTTCATCCTACCCACAATACATGTAAACAATCCTCCTTGACTTACCAGTGTATCATCCTTCCATTCTGTTACGATACAGACCCGTGAAGATCCAGTTTAGGATGCGTCTTCAGCAACCCATTCTTGCCGTAAAAGGCGACTATGCTTGTAAGAGAGGGGCGGTCGGGTAGCCTAGTGGTTAAAGCGTTCGCTCGTCACGCCGAAGACCCGGGTTCGATTCCCGACATGGGTACAATGTGTGCAGCCCATTTCTGGTGTCCCCCGCCGTGATATTGCTGGAATAATGCTAAAAGCGGCGTAAAATCAAACTCACTCACTCACTATGCTTGTAAGAGAGGCGACTAACGGGATCGGGTGGTTTGGTTGATGCATGTCATCGTATTCCAGTTGCGTGGATCGATGCTCATGAGTGCGGCGTTAAACAACAAACAAACATTATGATATATGCGACTGGACAACTTTTTTTTTCTTTTTCTTTTTTGTAACTCCACATTTTATGTAACATTTTCCCATTACCCCTCAAATACAGGTAACATATTTTTCATGGACATCCCCCTCCCTATAATATATTACCAGTCCCTAAACAATGATGAAATCTCAAATCTCCATCCCAGCCCACTATAACAAATGACAAGTCTGCAAATACCATGATTTACCCTGACTTACCTTCGTTTGGAGCCGTGTAAGAACGGCACGCTGCTAAAAATAACTGTCCAATCAGATTACACTCATTAGCGAGAGAAATTCTGTGGAAAAGTTGTAAAGGAGAACTGGAGATCCTGACGTCACTACGAAAACGTTGCTTTGGTGGTGAATGGGTCCGGGATATTTTTCACAATGGAATGAATCTATATCACTGTGGGTAACGGTGGATTCTGTTCGCTTTGAAGCTGTACCTGTTTATACAGATACCCTATGGCATCATAAATGGCATCTTGGGATTGGGTAAAGCTGCTTTAATAGAAATGTCATCTCACCGCCTAAGGTCAGGGTAGGGAAGGTATAATTTCCCTCCTTCCAGGCAGAGGTATGTGTGACGGATCTATTTCAAATGTCAATGTATTTATGGTGTTGTATTTTCAGCTCTGTGTCACACATTCGTCACTTCCGATGGAGAAGACGGCACTAAACACTTGCAGAAATCCTCCAAAGGTATGCCATGGTTCCGCGAAACAGTGGGATTCTACTCCAAGACTACGGGCGTCACGATGCACCGATGTGTTGCATCGATAATTTACGAGTGCATACACGGCACGCCTACCCATGCATCGACATCACTGGATTGTCTGGTTCAGACTCGATTATTTACAGACCGTCGTCATATAGCTGGATAATTTCTAAGTGCGGCGTTAAACTACAAAAACCAAACCATGTTTTCATTCTGAATTCAGTAACCCGGCCTAGGCCTCGTTCATTAAAGTGATCGTAACTCCAATATCTTAACAAAGATTTACGGTCATCGTAGCACTAAGATCACTATTTGGGTCCTATGAACTAATTAGGCAAGCGTTACCGTACCGCCCATCACAAAGAAATGCTTACTCTGATGGTGAATTAGTAAGTAAAACGCGAACCGGTAGATAGCAACGCCCTCTAATAGACGTAAAAAGTAACTTACAACAGGTATCGTGACTCGCGATTTGTATCAATACTTTTTTCCTCCTTCACTCTCTCTCTCTCTCTGTCTCTGTCTCTCTCTCTCTCTCTCTCTCTCTCTCTCTCTGTATCTGTCTCTGTCTCTCCCTCTCTCTCTCTCTCTCTCTCTCTCTCTCTCTCTCTCTCTCTCTCTCTCTCTATATATATATATATATATATATAGTGCAATAATCTTGAACGCGAATTGTGGCGCTTCGGTCGATATGGAAACCCGGTCTCCCTCATGCATGCGTCTACTTTCATATTATTGTTATATTTTGATATCACATACAGTAACATGGTTGTAATTTAGCTTCGAATATAAATTGTGTTTACCATGTGAAAATGATGAAATATACATCAAAACATGTCATAATTGTACATGCACGTGTTTTCCTCTATATTACTCTCATAGTGTGATTATTATATACTACTCAAAAGAAGTTAAAGAACGCACGAGTATTTCATATGACTAAAGTTAATCCGTCATGCCAGTGTTAATCTCTAATGGCATGACATTAACCATAGTCAAAGAACATCCGATTTTTTCGTTTCTTTTGAGTGGAATATATTGAAGTGCATTAAATATTGTATGTTGATCAGGGAGGCGAGCCGAGTTTGACACGTGGGAGACAGTGGACGGGGAGACTTGCTGTATGAGACTGTTTGAACTGCGCATGGCAGCTCAGGTACTTGTGTATATATATTTAAACTATGTTTTTTTTATTTGTTTGTTTGTTGTGTAACGCCGCACTCAGCAATATTCCAGCTTTAGGACGGCGATCTGTAAATGTTCGAGTCTGAACCAGACAATCTAGTGATTGACATCATGAGCATCGATCTACGCAATTGGGATACGATGACGTGCATCAACCGAATCTCGGGCCTGATTACTCGATACCGTTAGTCGCCGCATGGGTTGCTGAAGACCATTTGTAACACCCATGGGTCAAATGGTGCCGTGCTTAGTGTGATCGCTTCTCATGCCCTGGGTTCGATCCTCCACATTGGTTAGTCAAGATAAATGCCTCCCTGTGCCGTAAACAAGTAAAAAGTAATTGTTTTTGAAAGTAATATTTGCAGAGGATTGTAGTGCAATCAGATCACACCATGACGAGAAGTGAAACATATCTCTGAATGAAGAAATCAATATAGGCATTGCTAGAAAATACATATTTGAAAGGTTTTGCTATACCTATTATAACATTGAAAAGCACAAATGTTTCTTCGTGAGTGAGTATGGTTTTACGCCGCTTTTAGCAATATTCAAGCAATATCATGGCGGGGGACACCAGAAGTTGGCTTCACACATTGTACCCATGTGGGGAATCGATCCTGGGTCTTCGGCGTGACGAGCGAACGTTTAAACCACTAGGTTACCCCGCGGTCACAATTTTTTCTAAAAGTGATTAATCAGGAGGATAATGCAAGCGGGGCAAGAGCCTGTGTGGTTGACTGGAAGAACGAGTAGGACGCACCGTGACGCACCGTGACGCATCGTGACGCTCCGTGACGCACCTCGACGTATGTTTCAGGGAGACGATGACGAGCAGATTGTGAGGTCCTTGACGCAGAGTGCCGACGGCTTCATCCTCGTCTACTCCATCACCGACAAGCGGAGCTTCGACGCCGCATCACGAGTCCACGAAGCCATACACAAGATCAGAAACAACAGCGACACCCCGTTAGTGCTGGTCGGTAAGTCAATGTGTTCATCAGTCAAGTGTGCGACCACGGGTCCACTTGAAGCGCTCGTAAAATCTCCATCATCATCCCCAAAGTATTATTAGACTGCGAGCCTGCACCGGTGGTATCACCAAGGGAGGTAACCCCGATATTCTTGTGGGTCCACTGGGCTTATCTCAGCCGAATGAGACACCCGCTAACACTGTCAAGAACCAATACTTGTAACGGTAGCCGTTTCGCATTTGTCATCAAAGTGTATACCTAATTATTTCTGTTAAAGACAGAATGACCCTTTTTCAAAAACGGCCTTCAAATTACACTATCTGCGGCGCGATCTAAAGTGACAATGAATTACTCCATTTCCGAGGTGCTACACAGGAATATTCGTGACCAACTCGTGTTATTCCGGGACAAGCCGAATAGCGACTCGTGCCCCTCTCGTGGCCATTTTTTGCAACTGGGTTCCGTCTCAGCGCAAACGAGCACAGCTTAAAGAATTGTCAACTCGTTGCGTAATGATTCACGTATATATTTCCCTATATATATATACATGTATATTCCAGATGCTATTTAAAACAAATCGGGACTAACGGTATTATAAAGCATGACTGAACACATTAAACTGTATATTGTGTATATTTTTAGACGCAAGGTATATGTAAAGTAAAAAATTATTCCTGAGGGATTCTTTGACCGAAGTACTTGAAGTCATACGCGGTTTGTCGTATTTTCGCACATAACATTCATCGATAGGGGACGAGTTATCGAAAGAGACAAGTGGTGACGACTGACGAAGGAAGCGGAATAAGCCGAGCGGACCATCACGGGATGACGTGACACACTGTGGGACAGGTTCCAACAAAGGTTTCTGTGTTCCTGGCGGTCACAGATTAAAGACAATCCATATTTATTCAGTCTTGTGGTCACTCTATTCCAGTTTTAGCTCACCTGACTCAGGTTTTCTGACTGGTCACAGATTAAAGACAATCCATATTTATTCAGTTTTGTGGTCACTCTATTCCAGTTTTAGCTCACCTGACTCAGGTTTTCTCACTGGCAATAGAGTAAAGACAATCCATATTTATTCACTCTTGTGGTCACTCTATTCCAGTTTTAGCTCACCTGACTCAGGTTTTCTGACTGGTCACAGATTAAAGACAATCCATATTTATTCAGTTTTGTGGTCACTCTATTCCAGTTTTAGCTCACCTGACTCAGGTTTTCTGACTGGCAATAGAGTAAAGACAATCCATATTTATTCACTCTTGTGGTCACTCTATTCCAGTTTTAGCTCACCTGACTCAGGTTTTGTGACTGGCAATAGAGTAAAGACAATCCATATTTATTCACTCTTGTGGTCACTCTATTCCAGTTTTAGCTCACCTGACTCAGGTTTTGTGACTGGCCATAGAGTAAAGACAATCCATATTTATTCAGTTTTGTGGTCACTTTATTCCAGTTTTAGCTCACCTGACTCAGGTTTTGTGAGAGGTCAGTCCAGCCTTCCACAGTTCGCAAGCGTGCGTCTAATGAAAGACTTTGACCTTTCCGACATTAAGCCACGCTAATTCAGAAGTCGTAACATTGCTGCGGTTATCCCATACAACTCTTTTCAGTTATCTGATTTAATCTTAAACGTGGCCTTTATGCCAGACATACTGAAATGTGATGATGATGATGATGGTGATGATGATGATGATGGTGATGATGATGATGATGATGATGGTCGGTGTATGAAGCGTCCTGGAAATCTAGTTATTTCTTTAAAAGGCTCAATAAGAAAACACAAAAAGTCCTCTGAGCGAACACAAAACCGACCCAATGTCAAACAGAACTCTTTTAACCAAATAATGTATAAGCCTTAAAATCGCTAGGGTTCGATTTCACACACTGGAACATTGCTGGAATATTGGTGAAAGCTATTTGAAATTATACATAAAACTGAAACACTTTGAAAACGCCTATTTATCTTTGTTGTTTGGCAAAATGGACGTAGTTAACCTTTTTGGACAGGGGTGGCAAAAATTTGTACAAGTATCACTTGTCCCCAACTTGATTCAAATAAAACTGTTTTCTATAAAACGATAGGTTTCGAGCTGTATAAAAACACATCGTGTCAGGCTTTAAAGACGATTATACGTGTTCTTTGTGTATTTGTATAATTCGATTGGAACAATGTACTATCATCATTTCGTTTGAAGATCAAGTGATTAGACAGCAGGGCTTGTGGAATGTCACGGTGGCTGCCTTTGTAATATCTACTAGGTCTGCACAAACTACGACCGACCCGTGAAGACCCTGGGTAGAATCGGTCTTCAGCAACCCACGCTTGCTGTAAAAGGCGACTATGCTTGTCGTAAGAGGCGACTTACGGAATCGGGTGGTCAGGCTCGCTGACTTGGATGATGCATGTCATCGTATCCCAATTGTGTGGATCGATGCTGATGATGTCAATCACTGGATTGTCTGGTCCAGACTCGGTTATTTACAGACCGCCGTCATATAGCTGGAATATTGCTGAGTGTGGCGTTAAACAACAAACAAAACATAGTGCGACCCGTCAGGCCAGTCACGTGGTCCTGTAGGGTCTGTTGTAAAATCCTGGCACCTAATGTGATATTTTTTTAAATAGTAATAATTAAAAAAAGAAAAAAAAGAGTCATCATGGCTGCCATTGAATGTTGTAGGTAACAAGGGCGACGCATTCACGGAGCGGGAGGTTCTAGTGTCCGACGGCAGGGACATGGCGTTTGATATCGGAACAGCATTTTACGAGACTTCAACGAGAATGGACATGGAGAAGGTACGGAGTATATTTCATGATGTCATAAGACAAGTGAGGTGCGTTCGGTCGCGCTCCCGTTGCCAGGAACAAGCTTGCAATAAAGTGAGGGGATTTATTCACAGATTGAGCTTGAGATCAAAGCGGAAATCACTCAAGAGACAATCGACTGGATGACGTCACTTGATGACGTCATTTGTGTGGACTTTTGTGTGAATGGATTACAATACTGGTATTTTCTTGATGTGATATGGATTGATATTTCTGTTATGATTTTGCTGAATAACGTTGATGAAGTTCAAAATGTATTTGTAGTGAAAGCCATTAAATACTCACGTGGAGACAGTGACAAGTTATTACAATGATGGCCCGGGATAATGGTCTGACTGCACTCACAAGGAGGTTTCTTTTGCAATCACATATCATCCTACCGGGTAATTTGATGAATGAGACATTACATATGATGTTAAAGTATATTCAGTAATGGAGCCTGCGCCAAACTTTTAAGAAAAGTAATATGGTAAGGGCGAAATTCATTCTCTTGTGTTCTGTTTAATGCTTTGTGAAAAGGTCCCGAACTGTGCACCCTGGGTTTTCTACGCTTTCTTCGCTTGGAGAGAAAGACGGAACCAAAACATACTCTGGGTCCTGCATTCCCACTTCCGGTCTGCAACAACCAAAGCCGAGTGGTCAAAGCGTTCGCTCGTCACGCCGAAGACTTGTGTTTGATTCTCCACATGGGTACAATGTGTGAAGCCCATTTGTGGTGTGCCCTGCCGTGATATCGCTTGAATATTGATGAAAACGGCGTAAAATAATAGTCACTCACGTACTATGTTGGAGGAAAGCCCAAAGAAGAATTTTACCACGTGACAGACCAATATCATAATCGGGACGACTATGGGATTCGAACGAACTTCATACGGGTGCTGATACGGCCAAGGAACCAATAAACGGGGGATTGCTGTCTAACAAAAACTTGCAAATGAATCGGCGTCACCATCAACAAACTTGTCAAGGGAAATCCTTTATTGCCGAATGGTGTATAGGTAGTCACCCTTGTGACCTTCACATTGATCTTTCGTGTAGAATTCACGTCACATCCTGTCTTCACGAGAACTTCACAAAGACGGCAAGGACTTCTGCTTTTCCATACACTAAAAATGACAGAAATATGAATGAATTATGCGTTTATGTAATATTTGTCAAAATACTGTCAAATAGATCCACGATGTTGACAGCTGTCGTACTACTATAGTGAGTAAGTGGCTGAGTGTAACTCGGCGCGAACCAGTCCAGCTACCCTGCGTTAATGCTTGGTGTTGCAGGAACGTTCTATATCCATGTCATTGTAAATATCCTGGTCACATTCGCTTCGTTTCGGAAGCGATGTCACCAACTCCATTAATCCTATCTCTTACACAGAGACCCGTGAAGATTCCTTGTTAGAGTAGGTCTTCGGCAACCCATGCTGGTCGTAAAAGGGGACTATGCTTGTTGTAAGGGGCGACTAACGGGATCGGGTGGTCAGACTCGCCGACTTGGTTGATGCATGTCATCGTATCCCAATGGCGTGGATCGATGCTGATGATGTTAATCATCGGACTGATTCGCCCAGACTCGATTTTTTACAGAACGCCGTCATATAGCTGGAATATTTCTGAGTGCGGCGTTAGACAATAAACAAACACACAAACAGATCTTACATAGAATTTCTCTCACAAAGAAGAGTAATTTGACTGGGTGGCTATTTTTAGCCTCGGGCGCAAAGCGAAGCCTTCGTGGCGAACGGGTACAGGGTATTTATTATGACCAAGGATCATAATCGAATATAACGAGTAGATCCTGTCACGTTTAAGGGACACAAATCTGTACAGCGAATTGCGGGCCCTTACAAATACCAATGGTCCGCTTATGAACTCCTGTTATAGAAAACATCAGACCTCTTCATAATCATAATCATAATCATAAAAAGAGTAATACTAATATTAATGACATGCATGTTTATAATGTGCCAAATCAACACCCTAAATCATACTCGAAGAGTAGTACTCGCTACTTTATTAGCCTGGTCAGTGGTTCAGTGTGCACTCCATTCTCAGCTCCCTGGGGAATACACAACCAATGCTGCCTGTGAGACGCTAGAAGGTTAACAGTCACATTGGTATCCATTCACTGCTGAGTGAACAGAGGCACATTTCGGAAAAGGTCACTTGCCTAAGGAGACACCACATGTGCTACATGTGCTTCAGTGCGAGAGACAGGACCGAAGCCCTAGTAACTCTCAATCGGTCACCCATCCAACTCCTCTCCGCGACCGACGTTGCTTTACTTCACCTGATTTGTGACCTGTGCGCTGTGCACAGGACCACAAGCCTCTGAAACAAGAGTTCTACGTTCACGACTGACAAAACAAACCTTGGTTAATGAAGTCAGTACCCTCCGAACCCCGAGCATAGAGGAACTGAGGTTTGGGACTCTCCTTATCAAAGATGCAAAGGTTGGTATCTTTGTTTTCAACAATAAGCCAGCCGAAGTTGTCGCAGTTGTTGAACACTGCCGACATTGAGATGTAGAACTTCCGGTACAGTTGCCTGTTGGTAAAAGTAGTGTAACATGAGACGCGTGAAGATCCGGGGTAGAATAATTCTTCAGCAACCCATGCTTGCTGTGAAAGGCGACTTTGCTTGTAAGAGGCGACTAACGGGATCGAGTGGTCAGGCTCGCTGACTTGGTTGATGCATGTCATCGTATCCCAATTGCGTGGATCGATGCGCATGATGTCAATCACTGGATTGTCTGGTCCAGATTTGTTTATTTACAGACCGCCGTCATATAGCTGGAATATTGCTGAGTGCGGCGTTAGACAACAAACAAAACATATTTGAGTCCAGGTACCCGGGCCAGTGTCAACCCAGGCCAGATACAGGAATCCAGTTCTAAATAGACCACATTCTAGAGGATGCATAACCCCTCCTCCACTGAATCCCGAATACCATCTAATTTAGTGAGTCTCATTTGCTCACCCATGAATCCCGAATACTACCTGACACAAATCTCAAAAGCACATTCAGAAATCAATCTACAAAGGCTGAATGTCGATCAAGGATAAAAACTACACCTTCCCAGGTCATAAAATGGTGAAGGATTTGAAGTTAAATTGGTGAACAAAAAATCGGAAACAATCAAATAAATTAAGATTATTTTTAAATGTTGAATCCGCGTACCAAATACGATAAGTTTTGCATCCCGAGTACCACACTGATGAGTCCCAAATACCCCCAAAATAGACCCCCGAATTCCGCGCAACAAAAGGGGGTTGGCAGCCTCGTTCTATCCAAGACAAGCACTAAACAACAATCTGACGTCATCCCATTACTGGTCACGTCAGAATGACCTTTCATCCGACCAATCAGAGCGATGCCTACCGGATCAGGAAAGTGATAGTCGGATTGTGTTTTCTGATCATGAAACCTAGAAAAGGTTAACACGGGGTAACACCACTTATTCCGTTAAAACCATCGTCTATTTCTCGCGTCAATGGGATATAACATTTGAAACGGTAGAGACTTCCCAGTACCGCCATACAATCTCGACCATCTATAAGACATTCCAGGATTTTCTTTTGGTCACTTTTTCAAATTTTGAATTGATATTTTTCAAAGGGTAGTCTAGAATGGTATTTGCCAGTTTGAAACTTGTGCCGTAAAGTTTGAGAAAGGTGCTTTCTGATTGGCTAAAGTCGACATCTTGTAGTCATTTCATTGGTCAAGTTCACGTAACGGGGTGTGCTGATATCTATATATAGCGGACGCAAGCATCAAGATATGATTTTATGAGATTGATATGACGTCGTTTATGACGTTACGTCTACACGGTAATTAAGTCATCTCTGTGTTGGTGCTTTGTGAAATAGTGAGTAATCTTCTGAGATACAAACGCAACTCAATCCTACCCGGCCTAGTGTACTGTTTATGGAGGGAAGAAAACCTACCCTTGGAGTGAGAAGAAGGTTGGCGAAAAGGCTGCTAGATCTACTGTGTAGGGATGAGTGCGTAGTCGGGCGTGGGAGAACCAGTCGTCCCTGCTGCTGCCCACTCCGTCAAACGTCATGGCCATCACCTCTGTGCCGTTCTCGTACAGTCCCAACTTCACCTGGCGACAGCAACCACGGGGACAAGTGATGGAAATATATGAGATGGACATTACCATTATACAACACCGTATATTGACACTTAACATGTGACACTCAACACTCCACTGACACTTAACATATCATATTCAACACTCCACTGACACTTAACATATCATATTCAACACTCCACTGACACTTAACATGTGGTACTCAACACTCCACTGACACCTAACTCCGTTATACTACACCGTGTATCAAACACTCAACACTTCACTGATACTTAACAAATCATACTCAACCCAACACCCGATACACTTAACATCTAACACCCAACACCCAATATACACTTAAAATCCAACACCAAACACCCAAAGTACACTTAACATCTAACACCCAACACCAAAAGTACACCTAACATCTAACATCCAACACCCAAAGTACACTTAACATCTAACACCCAACATCCAAAGTACACTTAACATCTAACACCCAACACCCAAAGTACACTTAACATCCAACACCAGAAGTATACTTAACATCTAACACCCAACACCAAAAGTACACTTAACATCCAACACCCAACACCCAAAGTACACTTAACATCTAACACCAAACACCAAAAGTACACTTAACATCTAACATCCAACACCCAAAGTACACTTAACATCTAACCCCCAACACACAATATACACTTAACATCCAACACCCAAAGTACACTTAACATCTAACACCCAACACCCAAAGTACACTTAACATCTAACACCCAACACCCAAAGTACACTTAACATCCAACACCAGAAGTATACTTAACATCTAACACCCAACACCCAAAGTACACTTAACATCCAACACCCAACACCCAAAGTACACTTAACATCCAACACCAAACACCAAAAGTACACTTAACATCTAACATCCAACACCCAAAGTACACTTAACATCTATCACCCAACACCCAAAGTACACTTAACATCCAACACCCAACACCCAAAGTACACTTAACATCTAACACCAAACACCAAAAGTACACTTAACATCTAACATCCAACACCCAAAGTACACTTAACATCTAACACCCAACACCCCAAGTACACTTAACATCCAACACCAGAAGTATACTTAACATCTAACACCCAACACCCAAAGTACACTTAACATAAAACACCCAACACCAAAAGTACACTTAACATCTAACATCCAACACCCAAAGTACACTTAACATCTAACACCCAACACCCAAAGTACACTTAACATCAAACACCAAACACCCAAAGTACACTTAACATCCAACACCAGAAGTATACTTAACATCTAACACCCAACACCCAAAGTACACTTAACATCCAACACCCAACACCCAAAGTACACTTAACATCTAACACCCAACACCCAATATACACTTAACATCTAACATCCAACACCCAAAGTACACTTAACATCTAACCCCCAACACACAATATACACTTAACATCTAACTCCAGACACCCAAAGTACACTTAACATCCAACACCCAACACCCAAACTACACTTTACATCCAACACCCAACACCCAAAGTACACTTAACATCCAACACCCAACACCCAAAGTACACTTAACATCTAACACCCAAAGTACACTTAACATCTAACACCCAAAGTACACTTAACATCAAACACCCAACACCCAAAGTATACTTAACACCCAACACCCAAAGTACACTTAACACCCAACACCCAAAGTACACTTAACACCCAACACCCAAAGTACACTTAACATCCAACACTCAACACCCAAAGTACACTTAACATCCAACACTCAACACCCAAAGTACACTTAACATCCAACACCCAAAGAACACTTAACATCCAACACCCAACACCAAAAGTACACTTAACACCCAACACCCAAAATACACTTAACATCCAACACCCAAAGTACACTTAACACCCAACACCCAAAGTACACTTAACACCCAACACCCAAAGTACTCTTAACACCCAACACCCAAAGTACACTCAACACCCGACACCAAAAGTACACTTAACACCCAACACCCAAAGTACACTTAACACCCAACACCCAAAATACACTTAACATCCAACACCCAAAGTACACTTAACACCCAACACCCAAAGTACACTTAACACCCAACACCCAAAGTACTCTTAACACCCAACACCCAAAGTACACTCAACACCCGACACCAAAAGTACACTTAACACCCAACACCCAAAGTACACTTAACACCCAACACCAAAGTACACTTAACATCTAACACCCAACACCAAAGTACACTTAACATCTAACACCCAACACCAAAGTACACCTAACATCTAACACCCAACACCAAAGTACACTTAACATCTAACACCCAACACCAAAGTACACTTAACATCTAACACCCAACACCAAAGTACACTTAACATCCAACACCCAACACCCAAAGTACACTTAACATCCAACACCCAAAGTACACTTAACATCCAACAGCCAACACCAAAGTACACTTAACATCCAACACCCAAAGTACACTTAACATCCAACACCCAAAGTACACTTAACATCCAACACCCAAAGTACACTTAACAGAAAGGTTACGTTATCCTGAGGAGGTTGTGATTGTTTCAGTTACATATTCAAGTCGACCGAGTATTAAGGTGTGGCGTTCCGAACCAGTCGAATACATTGAATTACTCGAAAACATGGTACGAAAAAGCATATTGGTTTATTCCGCCAATCAGACACCACCTCGAGTAAACCTAACGTTATATGACAACCATTCCACGTGACATCTGACCTTGACGGAACAAGCCGAGTGAGACCGATTGTAAAATTGATAAGCACAATCATACTAATCGATAATGCCGATAATACTCAAACATATGACTAAAAAACAATGTGTGTTAATAACCTGCTCATTTTTCACGATTGACTTTTCGGTTATTCAAACTGACTTTGCAGCTGTTTGTTTCACACAATTAGTTTTACGACCAACATAATTTCCTAAACTCTTTGATACATATCTTTTATCACTGAGTTCGGCAGTAAACCAAGTCATGTGATTCTAGGCGATAAAACATTATTGTGTAATGCTTGTCAAAATCACGCGGCTTGGATTTTAGGCCTTTTGATTTACGTTTTTGATTGATTTAAGACAATTTAGCCACAGGGGCTTTGCACTGACGGTACATAGTCATAACAGCTATCACGCGGATTCCTTTGTCACGTGAGATATGTCCTGCGGTGCTGGGGCTGGTAAACGAAGCGTTTCATCATGCAACGTGTAAAACCTATCATTACAAGTATCGAGTGACCTCTGCAACGCTAAGTTCTATATTTGTCAATAATAAAAGCTCATTACAATGTCAACTCGTTAATAGCTCGTTAAAATGTAATTTCTTATTAGAGAGAAGCTCTAACAAATAATTTAATTTTGTTTAAACTTTTTTTTCGGTCAACTGGCGCTAATGTATGGAAACGTTTTAATGGCATATTAATAGTGCCACAATATACTTTCCTGAAACTATCATCTACAAAGATCACATTTTTAAAATGTGGCACCAATTCGCTTCCATACTATTGCATTATGGGGGGGGGGGGGGGGGGGGGGGGGGTGTTAAGGGTGACAGAGATAAAATGTAGCCTTGTGGTTAGCTCGTCACGCCGAAAGCCCGGGTTCGATTCCTCACATGGGTACAATGTGTGAAGCCCATTTCTGGTCACCCGTGCCGTGATATTGCTGGTTTTTGCTAAAAGTGGTGTAAAACCCAAACCCCTCACTCACTCTCTGAAAGGAGGAACTAAATACGTTTGGGGACCCGGCAACACATTGTCTTTCAGAACATCCCGCATGTCCAAGGGACGATCTACCTTTATGGAAAAACCTGAGCACAATTTCTTTTCTCGGCATTCCGTGCGTCATCGTTCCCGACGGCGTTGATCTTTGTTCCCACGTCCGCCAAATTCAATTGTATTATCGTCGCCGATTATTTTGTAAGTCGGCGTGATATTAATATTACTCTGCTGACGCTACGAAAATAAAACTATAGTCAACAGGAAAGTGATTTTTGTTGGTGATAACATCTGCCTATTTTTAAATCTAATAACAAAATATCAGATTAGTGTCTCATTATATCTTGTTATTTTTTGTTACTGCTTTCTGTGCTTTAAACTATCTGTGTGAAGCCAATTTTAAACTCCTTTTTTTGTGCCCGTGAAACGACTAGCAATAGAAATAATAATATCAATTCGTTTCAAGCTGATTTAAATAAAGCACATTCAATGAAAAAAAATTATATGAATTTTCACATGGGCTGCAATCCTTTTCACTTGTGCCCAATCCTTTTTATGAGAATAAAATATGTTTAAACTAAACTAATAATTATATTACCACTTAGGGGTTGAGGGGTGGTGGGGTAGCCAAGCGGGTAAAGTGTTCTCTCGTCACGCCGAAGACCCGGGTTTGATTCCTAACATAGGTACAATGTGTGAAGCCCATGTCTGGTGTCCCCCGCCCTGATATTGCTGGAATATTGCTAAAAGCGGCCTAAAACCATACTCACTCACTCACACCTAGGGGTTAAATATATTCTTGCGATGTGAGGCTACAGACACGTTGAGGACAGTGAAACTTTGATAACCGAGACCTATGGAATCTACGATTCTGGACAACTGCTTCTGATGTTCATGATCCCAACCTGCGCGTCACACCCTTTTGAGGTTATAGTATACGGGAGGTAGTTCTCGACATCATTGCAAAATGGAAATTAAATACAGGAAGATTTGAAAAGCACGCCTGGTAATGATAGAACTGTTATGAACTGGGCTGCTGAATTAAAGCGAGGTAGTAGCACAGAAGATGTACCGAAGTCGTCCTGAATATGCCACGTCTGAAACTCAAGTGCAGGCTGCCCTATGGTAATGGCTGACTGTCAAGTTACAATTGAGCACAGCGCTGACACCAGTGGGGTCAGTTTTGGGTCAGCACAGTCCATCTTAACAGACACACTCCACAGGAGCAAGCTGTCCTCAGGTTGGTACCAAGAATGTTGACACCAGATCAAAATCATCAGAATCCTGACAAAGTTTTGGGTGCAAATTGTAACCCGGATGAGACCTGTTCCATCACTTTGATCCAGAGTCAAAACTTATTAGCAAACAGTGGACACACTTGGCCTCACGCCAACCCCCATCTGACACAGGTTAACACGTAAATTGTCAAATAACTGGTAACATCACGTCATGATTACATCACACCGCACCGAACCGAACCGCATCCCCCTGAACCGCACCGTATCACATCTATGCACCGCACCGCACCGCATTCGCCCGCACCGAACCGCATCACACCGCACTGCATCCCCCTGAACCGCACCGCATCACATCGATCGCACCGCACTGAACCGCACCGTACTGCACTCATCGCACCGCATCGTACAACGCCGCACCGCACCGCACCGCATTTCATCTCATGACACCGCATCGCACCGCATGTCACCGCACCGCCAAGCACCGCACCTCATTGCGCCGCATCATACCGCATTTCACTTCATTACACCGCACCGCCAAGCACCGCACCTCATTACACCGTATCGGACCGCACCGCCCGCATTTATCACACCACCCATACTCGCACCATAAATGACATATCATACGTCACGGTTATGGACCGGATGAAAGACACACGGAAAAGTAGAAGTGAATGAAATTGGTAACGGTTGATTTATTACAAGGTGTCTACCAGTCGGAACTCGTTAATGGCAAAGACAAAATCACTCAATGCGGGCACTCTATTCAGAGCTATCAAACAGAAAAATAACGTAAAATATGAGAAAGCTAAAAATAAAATATCCTGAAAGCATCAGGCAATAAAAGGGAATATTTATATATGAATGTCTTGGTTACTGAAAGTTATATCAAAGTGTAAATTTTTTTTTTTTTAAATCTGAAATGAAAGTTGTACATATGCGGGCATGGATTTCTAACATAAAAACAGTGCTTAAAAGATTAAATTAATATATTCTACCTTAAATGTTCGTAATGCAAAGTAATTATGCAAGAAAATGATCACACAGAACATTGGGCCTAAAACAAAAACTTTACACATCACCCGCTGAATATCGCTTCGTGTTCGATTTCACATAAATGGCTACATGTCAGATGTATTAAACGACGCAATTGGCTGTGAAAGTATTGCATCAATCATGCGATGTGGCAGCCTCGTGTTCATGCTTATATACTGGTGGAAAGAAGTGGGGGAACAGATGCACACAGAACCGCATTATTTTGCAATATTACCTGGTTTTACAACAGACATTAGACGCTATACAGACATCAATACACTGTACAGACATCAGACAAACAAGAGACACCAGGCACAAGACAGATATCAAAGACACTACACAGACATCAGACAGACACCACAGACATCAGACACTACATAGGCATCAAACACACTGACATCAGACATGAAACAAACTTCAGACACTACATAGATATTACAGCCACCACACAGACATGGCGACACTACATAGACATCAGACACACACCATAGACATGGAGACACTACATAGGCATCGAACACACACCACAGACACGCAGATACTACATTAACATCAGACACACTACAGCCACGCAGACACTACACAGACCTCAGACACACACTACAGACACGCAGACACTACATTATCATCAAACACACACTACAGACACGCAGACACTACGCAGACCTCAGACACACACCACAGACACACAGATACTACATAAACATCAGACACACACTCCAGACACGCAGACACTACACAGACCTCAGACACACACTACAGACACGCAGACACAACATAATCATCAAACGCACACCACAGACACGCAGATACTACATAAACATCAGACACACACTACAGACACTCAGACACTACGCAGACCTCAGACACACACTACAGACACGCAGATACTACATAAACATTAGACACACACTCCAGACACGCAGACACTACGCAGACCTCAAACACACTGTAGACACGCAGAAACTACATAAACATCAGACACATACTACAGACACGCAAACACTACACAGACCTCAAACACACAATACAGACACGCAGACACCACACAGACATCAAACACACACCACAGACACGCAGATACTACATAAACATCAGACACACACTACAGACACGCCGACACTACACAGACCTCAAACACACACTACAGACACGCAGACACTACATAAACATCAGACACACACTACAGACACGCAGACACTACACAGACCTCAGACACACAATACAGACACGCAGACACCACACAGACATCAGACACACACTCAAGACACGCAAACACTACATAGACCCCAGACACACAATACAGACACGCAGACACCACACAGACATCAGACACACACAACAGACACGCACACACTACATAGACATCAGACACACACTACAGACACGCAGACACCACACAGACATCAGGCACACACCATAGACATGGAGACACTACATAGGCATCAAACACACACCACAGACACGGAGACACCACACAGACATCAGACACACACTACAGACACGCAAACACTACATAGGCATCAGACACACACTAACGACACGCAGACACTACATATACATCAGACACACACTACAGACACAATATTAAAACAGAGTGAGTGCGTGATTGAACTGGGTTACAGTCCTTTGAACAATATTTCAGTTTTATCACGGCGCGTCATAACTGAAAGGGGAAGCCCCCAAAGTGATGCTTGTCTTTGCCCTTAAGCACCTACGTGTAACCAACTTACCAGACTCACCAACATCAGTAGGTATAATGGCAACAAATGTCAAACTGAAATACACTACCAGGCAAAAGAAAATAAACACTCATGTTCATTGGTGGTTAAAAATGAAACAAATATAAAATGGCAATATTCGATGATGATGTATTTGATAAGGGTATCATAGTTGTGTTTTGGGCCTTAAAGTGTGCAGTAATTCCGCGACTGTTTCCAGCCCAGTAACGTTTTGATAACATTTGTAATTTTTTGGTCAAATCCAATTTTCAAGTGTATATTTTCTTTTGCCTGGCAGTTAATTTCCATGTCCAAGGTTTATATCAGCCTACCTCTTTGATCCCTGCCGTCGACCAATCATCCAACCAGTGTGAGCGATAGAAAGGGTAGCTTGATGATGCGCCATACTTCGAGAAGTAAGCAGGGTTCTGATTGGTCAGATCCTGGTCATGTGCCACCCCAGGCTGCTGCCAGGACTCGATGAAGTTGATGCCCGACCCACTGACCGCCTTGAATACCAGTGTCCACTGGCTGCTGCTGACTGCAAGAAGACATGTAACCATTGACCACACATTGTTTTCGACGGAAGCCTGGTGGTGCCACTTTGGTGACATAATTCCTTTTTTTCTCTTGTAATTTCAAGGATTTCATCTCTCGTAATTTCAATTATTTTCTCGTTATTTCATTTATGTCGATTATCCTGTCGTTGTTTCAATTTTAATTAAAAAATCAAAATTTCGAATTATCGATTATGTTCGCGTTATTTCATTTTTTTCAAATTAATACTACTTTAAATAACGAGAAAATATTGTTTAAAAAATAGAATGATGCTACGAAAGAGGCACCATTTGGCTTTCGTAAATTTCTGTTTTAGTAAATGTCACGAAAAGTGTATTTCAACATGTTTTGGTACGTGGGGTAGCTCACCTAATTCGCTTCTTAAGAAAGCTTCTGCCATGGGACAAATAAAAACGCTTTCAACGCTTTCATACATACAAATCGCTATATGGCTGGAATAATGCCGATGCGACGTTAAATTCTGACTCACTCACTCATACATACAGTGATTCATGAAAAACAGGCCCACTGAAATCTGTTTCGTAGGATAATCCAGACTGGTTGTCCTCTTCTTTAGTCACGAAGAGAGATCTAACTTGGACTACACGACATATTAAATCGTGTAGTTACCACGAGTTCCAGTAATTGTACAGACCAGTTACCAAGGCAACAATTCCAGGTCCGCGGGAGTTTACCTGCGGCCTCTTGCTTTACTGGCGCACACAACATCAGTGCATATGGCGCGACAGGAAGGCAATATGGTGCATTAAATTTTGATGATTTCATCTCCAAATGAATAACAGCATATTGTTTATAATTGACGTAAGTCGAGTTGGTGAAATCAGTGTGATTTAAGATGGAATGTATGAGGCCGAGATGATATCTCTGATGACTCTGGGTGGCACGCATCACAAACACATGCAAAGACAAGTCAATTGTTCACCTGAAAAAAAACACTCAAATTGGTTCAAAACACATTTCGTAGTAAGATCATGCTCGCTTAATGCATACTATACCTCTCTACTCAGGTACTCTATCAAGTACCTGAATAAAATTATGAAGAAACATTGAGTACATAGGCAAGTGGAAATCTGGATTGCATGAATCCGACTATATTGCAATTATTATCACGCAATATTTTAAAATCAATGTTTTGTTGTTTTTTTGCAGGAATGGTAATTATTTAAGATAATTATTTTATTTCATAAAACACAAAGCGTCTGCCAAGGGTCGTGGGTTCGATCCCCGGCCGCGTCATACTAAAAGATGTTAAACGATAGTACTTGTTGTTCCATTGTCTGGCGCTCGGCATTAAGGTGCTAAAACAAGGACTGGTCGGCTCGGAGTCAGTATACTGTGTCTGAGTGGGGTATTCATGTTAAACTTCTCGGTGAGATAGCACTATAAAATCGGCATCAGTCCGGACTGAAACAAGCAGACAGACACACACAGACACACACACACACACACACACACACACACACACACACACACACACACACACACACACACACACACACACACACACTGCACGTCTCCATGTAAGTGCAACCATCTTAAACACCATTTCACCTCACCTCACCTCACCTCACCTCACCTCACCTCACTTCACCCCACTTACTCAAAAGTCGCTTGATCGGGGTTGCAACACTCAAGGCCTTAGAAAAGCTTTCAAAACGTTTTATAGTAGACATGTGGGAGACATTTCCAATTTGTAGCATCAGTGATATAAATAATGTGTGATGCAATTCCTTTTGACTTGTACCATGTGTTCTCATGTTTTTGCAGTTGAACAAATATATGGCTGAACAAATGTATAAGTGTATAGCTTCCACAACTGGTTTTTCTGTGCATATAGAATAGAAATTAACTGTCACGTTTCATTTACTATTCTCCTACAAAGATTTCATCACAATTGTATGGGGATGCTTGTGTGAACATATTAAGGTGGGGGTATTATAATACTTTCTGTAATTGGCTTTGACTTGGATGTATATCTCCGGTCACCTTGCTACACATGTCCATAAACAAGATCCTTTTGTCCGCATCATGAATAATAACGTACGCACAAGTAGAAGGTACTTGTTAACACTTTTAATTACATATTTTGTATTAAAGAAAGACACATGTTCCTTCAAGCGTGCTCTCGCTAACTGATAGATTAAGTAACCAATTAACAAATTAATATTGATCAAGAAATTCATCACAAGGTGTACAAAGACAAATTGCAAAAATCACGACGAGCTTGTCGTTAGGATCAACACGCGATATTTTCAATTTGAACATTTTTTTTACTACATTTATTTTTCTACCAAGATTTCAAAGAGCGTCATACGACTCTTGCTCAGAAGTTGTTTGATCAAGATTACAACATTCAAGGCCTCGGTGAAGCTTTCAAAATGTTTTATGGTATATATGTTGAGAACATTTCCAAATTTGACGCATCAGTGACAAAAATTATGTCCGATGCAATTCCCTATTTTGACTTGTACCATACATGTATGTTCCCATGTTTGTTCAGGTGGACACTTGACTTGCCTTTGCGTGTGTTTGTGACGGATGCCACCGGTGGGGCAGGATACGCTCACCTTTTCGTAAAAAGCCTGGTAGCATTACTTTTTGATAGTGATTCATAAACACATGCGTATGATATAGTCGGAATAGTACAACCGACTCTTCTTTATGCAGAGATTTCTATCGGATATGGAAATTGTCTTGTCGCTTTATTTTATCTTTGTATATCAGATCGTGTTCCCGAATTCTCTCAAAATGCATTTCCACGCACAATAAACATCATCCCCTCATTAACCACTGGACCAATGAAGCTGAGATTTATAAATGTGCGTTCCCACCAATGATGACATCTGAATTTGTTCAAGAGGATCGGGGTATTCCAATGAACAAGACCTTTGGGTCTGAGGTAAATTCCTTTGTCCTTGTATGTTGTGATATTAGTGTTGTTTCAAGGGATTAAAACATTGCTTACTGCAAAATTGGTAAAATGTGTTCAGAGGATCGAATCCGATTTTCAATATGGCCGCCACGGTATAAATAAATTCATCTCTGAAATTGCCAAACTGAGAAGATGAACTTTAAGTTAAGTTAAGTAAATATAGTTGCGTGTTGAAACAAAGTATATATAGTTGCGTGTTAAACAAAGTAAATATAGTTGCGTGTTGAAACTAAGTAAATATAGTTGCATGTTGAAACAATGTTACACAATAGTGCATTCATTCTTACAGATTTAGAAAACAACGTTCGTTATTTGTTTCATTTATGTACTTTTATGCTCAGTTCTCGGATGATAAACAACGTTGACAGCAACTTTAATACCTACTTCTTCTTTTTTCACAATGATCATGTTGAAACATTATTTTGAACATTTAAAAAATCGAATTTAGGACACTTTGGTGTTGAAAATATCAAGGTTGATGTTCCGACAGTCACGTGTACCCAACAATTCTTTACATGAATCACCTTCCCAAGGCAGACAGTGAAAACTAGACTTTGACACCGGCTAGTGGACACACCTGCCTCGGGAAGATCTATATACATGTACTCAGCTCAACTGATTTGTTTTCGAAAAACCTCCCACGGTGATGGGTGAGATACAATTATATACAATATTCAATATGTACATAAGGCAAGCATTTAACCGTAACATTGCAAATAGAATAAGTGGATACTAATTAATATACTAATTGTATTACATACATGATTAAAGAATATAGAGAGACTATCAGTGGTCATACGTTTCTTTCATTTTCAATATGGCTATGGCGGCGGCCATGTTTACATGATAGTCGAAATTACCGAGAAAAACTTAGACGCCATTGCTGGGTCATTTTGGGTGAAGTTTTCAGTTTTATCGGCCATTTGATTTCAAAAGAAATAACGAAAACATATAGTTTACGACGGACGACGTCTGATACCATCATGATGGGCACCCACATGGTATAATGTTACCTGTTCATTGTATGCGAGAGGCTGAGGGTGGCAGGGTTTGTAGTTCGTGTAACCAACCTATACGTACACAATACAAACACTCACTTTTACGCGAAATTCAAACTTATTGTTATATTTTTTTATTTATTGATACAATTGACAGAAAAATCAGGTTTTTTAATCATTTATTCTACCTCGTGCACCGTGTATATTTTAGTACTTTGGCTAAGAAAAAATAACGTAATTGACTTTACCTCAGGGCAAAAGAATATTTCCTATATTACATGTACATGTCACATTAAGTTGTAAATGTCAGTTCTTTACTCGGGAATACAGTCACTGTCGAAAATCACAGTCAGAAATAGCCATATTGTGGAAAGCAAAATGCCCATATTGGAATTTTTTCAGAACGTAAATAATAAACTAATTAAACAGTAATTATCAAGTGAATGTTATACGGTTTTATGTGAAAGGGCATAATGATTGTAAAGAACAACATACATCTCTAACCTGTAACTGTTTTTTAGCCAGGATCCTTTGGTCGTGTGTTTAAGTCACTTTTTAGCCACGATTATGATCCTTGGTCGTAGGTTTCATCAAAGTGGCAAACGCCAAGACCTCCATCATTTTGAGCTTTCGTTCCACATCCACATCCACATCCACTTCCACACCCACACCCACACCCACACCCACACCCACACCCACATCCCCATCCACATCCACACCCTCATCTTCATCCACAACATCCACATCTATATCCACACCCACATCAACATCCACATCCCACATCCACATCCACTTCACGACATAAACGTGCATGCACGTCGCTATATAAGTGCAATAATCTTGGACGCGACGTTAAACCCAATTTCACCTCACCTCACCTCACCTTTACGACATAACTGAAGTACTGTTCAAATTGGTGTTAAACCAAACTCACAAAAGGTATTTGAATAAACAATACTACAGTACATTTTTTGTGTAGACACTTTTTCGGGCGTTACTCCGGTGCATGCTTACCCTTTTCGCGAACGCCTGGTGTCACCATTTATAGTGGTCCATTTATATTGTTTCGCCAAATGGAATCTGTTTCGGTGGACAATCAAGACTGGTTATTCTCTTGCATTGCCCTTTTTATATAGTTAATATTAGAAGTAAATTGACAAATGTAACCTCACATACATATACGCGTTTTGTTTGTTTTCCTCTACCCCTAAAAAGCCAATGTGTTAAGTCACCTAATACCAATTATACACTTGAAAACTGATGAAAATGAAACAAGAAAGGAGTATGTGAGTGAAAGTGTCTTAAATATTGAACCGGAGCCCGGGCTAGACTCAAACTAGAGCCCAGAGGAACCTTTATTATTTGTAGACGTTTCACAGGACTATTTACAAGTTCGCACCACATCCTTTCTTGCTTAAAATTCCATAATGAAGGGACCGTTTCTGTTTTTCTCCTATACTCCATGCATTGTTAACACCAGAACCCTCCAAGGTGTTGGTGTTTCAATTACTAATGTATCGGTAAGACTTGTAAAGACGATGCTTACTTTCAGAGGACCACCTCTCCCAACCCATGAAATGACACGACAAGAGATACGTAGACAACACACACGTTTAGATAAACAACTACACGTATTTAATTTATCCAAAGATTTCAATCCATTGTACGGTTTGTAACTCTTTTGTCTAATTTACTAAGTAAATGCATGAACACATACATACACATTTTGAAAATATATTTATAATCACACAAAAAATCTTATTTACGAAGCGAATGTTTGACAGAGCACATGTCATGTACGCATCCAGGCTTGTATTTTTACAGTCTGAGTCAGATCAAACCATCACAAGTAGACACAGTCTGAGTCAGATCAAACCATCACAAGTAGACACAGTCTGAGTCAGATCAATCCATCACAAGTAGACACAGTCTGAGTCAGATCAAACCATCACAGGTAGACACAGTCTGAGTCAGATCAAACCATCACAAGTAGACACAGTCTGAGTCAGATCAAACCATCACTAGTAGACACAGTCTGAGTCAGATCAAACCATCACAAGTAGACACAATCTGAGTCAGATCAAACCATCACAAGTAGACACAATCTGAGTCAGATCAAACCACCACAAGTAGACACAATCTGAGTCAGATCAAACCATCACAAGTAGACACAATCTGAGCTGAGAATGTCAACATGTCCGGATGAAAACTAGACGAATTAAATTCATGCAGGTCTATTTTCCAGTTTTGATTTTCCACTTAAATTTAATCTATGTCACTTAAACAGAATGAAACCGTGACAAAATAATACCTCAATTAGATGCCATTGCTCGTAGACACATTTCTGTGAGCTTTCATTACATTGGTATAGTATCCATCTGTTAATAGGCCATGTATTGTTAGTGATGTGTGAGCAAGTTGCAAACTGTTCCTGAACGATGTCATTATACTCAAAAACATGAGACATCATTTATGATCAATCAAGGAAATATGAGCTTCAATTAGGCCATTCTACTAGAAAGTCTAACTAGCAACTTTCATAAATAATTGGCCTGCTATACACGCGTGGGTGGCATGGAAGGAATTAATTCCAAACACAAGTCACCCTGTCTTCATATGGAATTGGCATGTAGTAAGCCGACACATGAGTGAATGAGTAGGGTTTTACGACGCATTTAGCAATATTCCAGCAATATCACGGCCGCAATTGTACCCATGTCGGGAATCGAACCCGGGTCTACGGCGTGACGAGCGAACGCTTTAACCACTAGGCTACCCCCCATGACACATGACGTGCTGACTACTTTCAAAGACATATAACTTTTCCTTTTACGTCTGTCCTGTAACACATCTGTGAATATACACGATAAGAAATACGTTCAAAAACGCTACCCCTCATTCATTAGGAATTGGTTTGAGGGAAAATGAAGTGGCATAGTGACAAGAAAAAGTGTCATTCACAGATCACACAATACTCATTACAAATCTGTATGTTTGAAACGCAAGAAATAGCATGGTACAAAACATGAATTGGATTGGTTGGTTGGTTGGTTTGTTGTTTAACGCCGCACTCAGCAATATTCAAGCTATATGACGGCACTCCGTAAATAATCGAGTTTGGACCAGACAATCCAGTGATTGATACCATGAACATCGATCCACGCAATTGGGATACGATGACATGCATCAACCAAGTCAGCGAACCTGACCACCCGATCCGTTAATCGCCTCTTACGACAAGCATAGTCACCTTTTACGGCAAGCATGGATTGCTAAAGATCTATTCTACCCGGATCTTCACGGGTCCATTGGAAAGAAGGTTATTATGAGTGAGACAAGTCGCTACATCCTCATCAAGAATTGTCCTGCTTGCACACTTGAAATAACTTGACAAAAGATTGGTCACCTCATTTGGTTTGTAATAAACTTATAACGTCAACATAAGCAATGAACCAGTCTCGATTATAAGACAAAACTGATCCCATTGGGCGAAGTACACCAACGACAAAACCCTTTATGTCCACACTAGCCTGCTACGCCCACATAACGTAACATGACCAGAGACATAAAGACATGAATCTTTTAATAGATAACAACTAATTTATTGTTTGTGATAAAGTTTCAAGGCTACTTCTTGTCCCTCCAGGCCAATGAGTGAGTGAGTATGGTTTTACGCCGCTTTTAGCAATATTCCAGCAATATCACGGCGGGGGACACCAGAAATGGGCTTCACACATTGCACCCATGTCGGGAATCGAACCCGGGTCCTCGGCGCGACGAGCCAATCAGGCCAATGATGAAGTTCAGGTCTTAGAAAGGCATTAAGAAGTGATACACATAAGGAAGAGAGTATATGGATGTCAACTTCTTTATAATGAAGAACAGGACGTTTCGGAGTATATGCTTACTCCTTCGTCAGGTGAATGAAGAAGCAGGCATATACTCCAAAACGTTGTGTTCCTCATCATAAAGAAGTTGACATCCATATTTTCTCTTCCCTAATGATGAAGTTGCTATCCGTAAAAGGTTCAAGTTCTATAAACTCCTATCAAAGACTTGACAAGAGTTAGTTTCAAAGACAATGCATACGGCTTCATTAGACATCGCTCTGTCAGTCATGAAATGTCATACCGAAAAGATTTATCCCCCTGTCTTCGTTTACCATCGGTTTTTAACACACCTATGAAGCATTATGACAAGAATTATTTAAAATACGCATAACTCAACCTTAACTCAACAGTTAAAAATAGGTATGTAAAGACGCATGGAATTACATACAAAACATAGAGTATAGAGAATATAAGGAAAACTTTACCTTCGTTGGCAATTGGTCCATAATAGGCCCACGCAGGAGTCTCCTCAAACAGGGCGTCAAAGGCGTACAGCTCCTCTTGATTCAGAACACAAGAACCATCGGCTGCTTTGTAGTTGAAGCTCTTGCATGTCGAGTTCTCCCTGCTGCACAGCACAGCACATGCAGATCGCGACAGGGAACAATCGCTCCCGCAACATTCCGGGTTCGAACCCCCTGTACCGATCACGCGGTAACCCTCCCTCCCTCTGTACAACTCCCCGTGTACAATGATCAACGCCAGTCCTGTGAAAAGCAGCAGAGGGAACATTGCAAAGACACCCCACCAAAGGCAACCGCTCTTGAAGACCACGCAGTGCTTGTAACGGGTGATAAAGTTTAATTAGCTATACTTTGAAGTCAAGGGAGTGGTTCGATGCTCATCACACAAACACGGGGTTACGTACTACACCATTGGTTAAGCAACACTTGCTTGATTGGTACGTCGACCGTGAAATTCTTATGTTTCTATATTAGATATATCAGCATGGGATCCGTTGTCGCAACAGTTTAACGTTTGATGCAGCGGACCCAAACAAATTACCGGCGTTTGCTTGTCAGTCGTTTGACAGAGAGCTCCGGTTTTAAAGCGGTTGGAAGGCAAATCTCAGAGAAATTATCCATTTAGTTTTCCACGTAGCCTGGCGGGTTATTCCAACGCCTATAGATTAATACCACGTTATGCCACCAAGCCACCATTTTGTCTCATAACATTTCTTTCCAATCTGGGACAGTACTACTCATACAAATGGCAAACGGTCTTAGAATGTTTCACTAACCCCCTTCCGTAACTATCAAATTAAATGACAAAAAAAATGGACAATTTCCATGGCGAAGAAAATGATTCGTTGCAATGCCCGGACATTTGACGTCTCGTTGACAATCAAACCAGTCGCTCTTACGCTGGTTAGTAAATTACTGGCAAACGGCAATGCCATAAACGCCATTGAAAATGGCCTTATTTTCTATAGATAATTATCAGTTGTCACGGCTTATTGTTACAGTGGTATTCAAAGGCCGTTCCCTGACTGCTTTCAAGCCTTGGCACTGCTAATGCTGATCTGATAACAGGCAATTGATTCTGGGGCTGATGCATGCGGACGGGAGTATTATGGTACAATATCTGGGCGATAATAAACTACATGTCTAAATATTTTCCGTAGTTTTAATGATGCGAAACATGAGTTTAGCGTGCGTGGAGGGAGTTGAGTTACTGTAACGATATTAGTTGGTTGAAAGGACCATAAAACCCTTGCTGATTTAATCATGGCATTAACAGATGAGTTTCTTGGGTGTGTTCGTATTATTCCACTTCCTTGAGATATTCAATAATAAAAAGTAAAATATGTCATCAGACCAGGCATGGAAACAACAATGTGTAGTAAGGCATGGTAATTGTAACAGCGCCCTGGTCCACAAAGTGTCCTTAGCACTGCGACCTTCGTACGCCTATGAGTGAGTGAGTGAGTTAGGTTTAACGCCGCTTTTAACAGTATTCCAGCAATATCACGGCGGGGGACACCAGAAATGGGCTTCACACATTGTACCTATGTTAGGAATCAAACCCGGGTCTTCGGCGTGACGAGAGAACACTTTACCCGCTCGGCTACCCCACCACCCCTCAACCCCTAAGTGGTAATATAATTATTAGTTTAGTTTAAACATAATTTATTCTCGGCGTGTCAGCTTAATGTGGGAGGAAAGCCCAAAGTGATGCAGGTCTCAGATGTTTACCACTTCGGTGAAACCCACGAGCATGGGTATGGTGCTGACAAACCTAGAAACATAATCGGGGCGAACCGGGATTCGAACCCACAATCATTGGTTTCTGGCGTGCCCAAGGGACGCAACTCTGCACAGCGAATCGCGGCGCCTTAGACGACTGGGCCACCCGTGCCACCAGTACGCCTATGAGAAACTATATAGCTATTGATAGGTCGTAACGCTACGAATGCTTTATGGATCATAACCCTTGTCTGTTATAAAGTCAAGATTGCCACCTTTTCCGCGTGACGTCATTATTGTGTGATTATTTTTTATCGTGAGTGCTATGGATATGTGTGTTTGTTTGTTTGTTGTTTAACGCCGCACTATTCCAATATTCTATAGCAATATTCCAGCTACATAACGGCGGTCTGTAAATAATCGGGTCTGGACCAGACAATCCATGAACATCGATCCACGCAATTTGGATACGATGACATGCATCAACCAAGTCAGCGAGCCTGACCACCCGATCCCGTTAGTCGACTCTTACGACAAGCATAGTCGCCTTTTATGTCAAGCTTGGGTTGCTGAAGACCTATTCTACCCGGGATCTTCACGGGTCCTATGGGTATGCATGACACTGAGACTGGTGTTTTTTAATTCAAACACTTGTTGCCGACTATAGAAGTGACAATTTGTAGTTGGTGTTAGTTCCTTGAGTGAGTTGGCTTTAACGCCACTTTGAACAGTATTTCAGTTAAATCAGCAGAAGCGCAATTCGCTGTTCGAGTTGCGTCCCTTGGGACCGCCAGAAAACTATAATCGTGGGTTCGAGTCCCGGGTCGCCCCGATTATGTTTCTAGGTTTGTCAGCACCATACCTAGGGTTTCACTGAAGTGGTAAACGTCTGAGACCTGCATCACTTCGGGCTTTCCTCCCACATTAAGCTGACACGCCGTGATATAACTTGAATACTGTTCAAAGCGGCGTTAAACCCAACTCACTCACTCACTCACTCAGTTAATCTCAAAGCATGCCTTTGATGTATATAAATGAAGTGATTGTAGCTATTAAAACTTGTTCTCGTCGATATATAGTGCTGATGCGACGTTAAATTTTAATTCACTCGCTCCGGAAGGTGGGAGGAAAACCAGAAGTGATGCAGGTCTCAGAAGGTTTAGACGAGCTCGGTATAGTGATGACAAACTTACAACCATACTCAGGTCGAACAGAGATTCGGACCCACAATCCAAGGGTTCCGGCTCGCCCAAGGGATGCAACTCTGCACAGCGTTAGGCCCAACCGTGCTTTATTAATTGAGTGAGTGAGTGAGTGAGTGAGTGAGTGAGTGAGTGAGTGTATGATCATAAAAACAAGGACTGGTCAGCTCGGAGTCAGTATACTGAGTGGGGTATTCATGTTAAACTGCAGGATGGTATCAAGCACGTCTCCATGTAGGTCACATAATCTTAAACCCTCACCACCAGTCCTTCTCCAACACAACCAATTAGGAACCATTGTCAAAATATCATATTTGACCTTCAGTTCTGACCTTCTGAGTCAGAGACATAGCTCGAGAAGTGATATCTTCGGAAGTGTAGAAAAGGAAAACCAACTGTAATCTATTCTAATCACCACACACAAAAAACATTATTTTACATTATTCAAACACATTAACGTTAGTATAACGTCATATTTTAGTACTGCGTCGACCCCATTGTTTGAATTTTGCTGTTTGTTGACAAGACACTTTCGTGGAAAATCTCATCCTAAAGTAGATGGTTTATACAAACAAGACAGTTCTGTTGATTAAAACGTTGCGGCGATCGTTAACAGGTTAAACGATATTTAAATGGGATATTTCGTATTTCTGACGAGCTATTAACTACACTCACAGGGACTGACAAGAATGAAATAGCAAAGCTTTGTTTCAATAATACATACACCCAACTGCCGATGCCTCAAGCCAGCTCTCAGAGATTGATCTTGAAATAACCGTTATTGGTTGCATTCGGCTGTGAGTTTCCCATCAGGTTTTAATGGCATCACTCATAAATGTATGGTAGCACAATTTTATGTTTGTTTGCATAATTCGTTTTGTCCTGTGCTGAACACGACGCGTTTGCTCGGTTGTTGGTCAGTTAATATCACCCTGCACCTGATGATCCGTTATTAGGTGGCTATGGATAAATGAGTAGGATGTGATTTTCGTGCAATCCAATTTTGGTATCGAGTTTCAATTAGAAGGCGCTCTCATCAAAACACCACAAGCCGTACCGCTGGTTACGGAAAATGGTTGAGTTTCATGATACATCACCTCTCGTTTTGTTTTGTTTTTTTCTACGTTTTTTGATCGACCGCTTTCTGCCAATCCGAAAGGCCGGGCATTCGTCTGTAAAATGAATTTCAAGAAGCAACATGCAAGGAACGAGAATGTGTGGTAACGTTTTAGACTAACACGTAAAAGTCCCTGAAATAGTTATGGGTAAGGTTTAATAAAACTCATTCTACAAGAGAACCCCAAAGTATTAAAGGAACCCTCGTCTTTTAATTTCCTGGAGCGGAAATGAGTATAGACTGCCAGATCAGAGTTTTCTTATGTGAGCTAAAATGGGATTTAACGTTGCGCTCAATATAATTACACATATGTGTGCGTGCGTGAGTGTGCTTGCTTTTACTAGTCGGGGTAATGCCGGTTTTATAGTGCTAGCCCTCTGAAGTACCATGCCGCAGTGTAACATGGATACAGACACAGTATACTGACTCCGAGCCGACCAGTCCTTGTTTTAGCCCCTTAATGCCAGCGCCAGGCAAGGTAACAAGTGCCATCTTTTACCGAATTTTTGTTAAGTCGGCCGGGGTTGAAACCTTCCGCTCTCTGGGCAGACGCTGTATCCACTAGACAATGAAGGCGGTCTTTAATAATAATTACTTTGTGTAAAGAGATGTTTGAACAAGTGTATGAAGAATGCCATCTCCTGGAAGGGTAACAAGTATGTTGTTTGTTTTGACGCGGCCAGGCGATCGAACAGCAACCTTCCGCTCTCCAGGCGGGCACTCTACCACTCAATTACGGAGGCAGTCCATTCCATTTTGAACAGAAATGGCTTAGTAATGGCCATAAATAGGTTTAGTGGCAGCCATATTGAAAATCAGATTCGAACCTCCTGAACAAATATGGGTGTATTTATTGGTGGAAACAGGCTTATGAAGTGTCAGCTTCATTGATCTAGTGGTTTCTGAGGAGAAGACAAACAGGCAACAACCTGAGCTCACTTAAGTTTCAGTCAGATAAGCAAAACTAACTGACTAGTGAAGTGGGACTTGAAAGTACCGCTTGGGACCGAGGACTCTCGGTCTAATGACATCACATCCGGTTTGGGTAGACATGTGTAAAGGGGAAGCACCTAAACTTCCACTAAAATGTTTCACCTGTAAACAAATACAACTAATTCTAATACAACAGCAAACTTTTCTTTCCAATCTCATGTTTGTGTTCAATTTCTTCCAACATTCTGTATTCATTCTCAATTCTAAGAAGACAAACAAATTATCATTTGACAGCGTTTTTATTTGCTGAGGTTCAGCCACGACAGAAACATAGAGTGATAGACAAGTCCACTGTCTATAGAACATGCCAGAGCTCACTACAGAAAGAGGCCACTGACGCTCACGAAGTTCACTAACAAATAAAGAGTTTCTCAATTATAAACATTGGTGTACTGTGTACAGTGTTAAAGAGTGGCCAGTGTGAACAAGTGGGCAAATGCTGGTTCAATAGCCAAGCAGAATCATACCAGATGACACTTCATGACACAATCTTCGTGCTTGTGATGCTCAGAACCTGGAGGGGCTAGTCATAACGCTTGGGCTCTTAAGAATCAAGATTGGGCCATGCCAACCAGTGGTTGATGGCTCGAGCAACAAGTCATGCCACCAAGCCATGATGACACACATACAGCCTGGATACTCATCAGTTGGTTCTTGTAACAAAGGGTACTGTAACTGGACCCACAAAGTAATTTTACAGGAAATATTTTTCGGACTTTTCATACTGCCATCAAAAAAGTGCCTCCCACTAGACAAGGTGCTTGTAATTCCAAAATACACAAACAGCCTTTCTGCAATACTCAGCATTCCCTCTTGGAGCTGACAGCATCACAAGCACAAAAACAGCACCCCCTATACAAGGGGAACTTGTGCTGGACATCTCAATACGAGTCTCCTACTTGGCATAAAGAAATAAACGTAACAGTGTTTGTGAATACTTACTGTACGGTAATCAATACACAAATAACAAAAATATCATAGAAAAAAATAACTTCAAGTTATCTAGACCAGATTCTCATGACACAGAATTCACAGAATTAATAAGCAAAAATAATATTATCATTAATCAACCATAATTTCAAATTCACAAGATTTAGCCAAAAAACTACAAAGGTCTTAGAATAATCACTTTCACCAAACATCTGTAATACACAGTATTTCTTGTTGTAAGCATCTGAAGGAACATTGAGCATTTTTCATCAAGTCAAAACACAATTATATTTTCCAGTGATAAACGCATCTCCTCAAAACTGACTATTCTGCCAACTATCAAATCAATGGAGTCCTCGAACCAGTTGATGTAATCAAACTATGGTTTCCTTTGACAATTTCATGATTCTGGGAGAGAAGAATAAGCATCATTTTGTTAAAAACCCTTCAGAGAACGTAACACAGGTTAGGGACTGCAGGATATATAGAAATAGTTTCATGAGCAAAACACTACTCTAAAGAGTAAGAACTGTCAGACATCACAGCACTGCTAAAACTAAAGATTAACAGAAACATTGCAGGTTCACGCCCATAGTGAGGGCATGACCAATGTCATAAAGTGGCTGAACAGTACCGGCGCTTCCGTTAAATCACGGCATGTCACCCTGACATGGAAGGAAAGCCACACATGATTCAGGACTAACACGTTTACCACACTGGTACAGTGTTTGAAATAATTGCATAACCAAACAAGACTGTCAGGTAGGTGACCAGAAAGTGTTGCCTGCCCATCTTCAAAGTTACCTGCCCGCATTCAGACATTATAAATATTGAAAAATCCCCCAAACAATAAGAAAAAAATCACATCTTGATTCAGTTGAAATAATGCAAACAATTACTTGAGAATCTACAAGGAGTTATAATAAAACTGAATACGTAAGTAGTCTTAAAAAAATCATAATGCAACGCAACAGAAAAGTTACCACCCCAGGGGCAGGCGGGCAGGCAGGTATTTTGGACACTGCATTGGTGCAACCCATCAGCACAAGGAGGGTGCTGATAAACCTAGAAACATAATCAGGGTGAACCAGGATCCGTACTATGATCACAGGTTTCTGGTGCAACTAGGGGACACAACTCTGCACAAATTGCGGCTCCTTAGGCAATTGGGGCATATGTGTTCCATTGCTTGACAGACTTGATTCAAAACATTTGGTTCCTCATGATTTGGTGTTATTTGTTAATCTGGAATCTCGCTGTACATCATAGACTCGATCTAGCCACACTATAAACATGAACCTTTAACGTTAATGGAATGCTACATGGCAAAGTTGAGTATAGAAACAAAAATGTCAAGAATATCTGTAAACTGAGCTTGATTGTTAAGGATAACTAAATTAACATATTGTCACTATCATGGCCCAATAAATACCGATGAAACAAGACACACTTCATCTGACATGACCCTGTTAGGCGGGACTTTCTAAAATCTCACAATATTGCTTCATAAAATTGTCCAGTCAGTGAACTACAATGTACAAAATGGTTTAAAAGACAGGCACAGGAATATATGTACAATGGATCAAACCGGCATGACAGAGAAATAAACTGAAATTCTATGATTTAAGAAAACCATCCTATGACCAATACCCATCACAAGAAGAGTATATACATTTCAACATGGGGGAGGAAGCTTACACTGTCAGATAACAATCCTGCCTAGAAACCTTGCGTCACATTCCAAAAGATATTTTTAAAAGTTAGATAATTTTCTTAGTCAAGAAAATATAAAGCTTAGGACAGGTTTATATGAAATTACCTTATTACCAAGAATTTAGCAATACAATGGGAACATTATTAACAACGTTTTTTATTAATAATACACTTTTAAATATCACACAATAGGGAAAAAAACATATTTTACATATTCAACAAACAAAAGATTTCGAGAAAATATTTCAAAGGCAAATATTTTAGAATATAATTTAGGTGTTTTAATTTCAGGAAAATTTGTCTGAAAGTGTAAGCTTGAAATATGATTGAATTGTCACGTACGGAAACAGCGGTAGATTATGCACAGGCAAACAGCTACAACAATCTAGAAACAAGTATTTCTCAATACCTTAACAAAACATTCAACTCCAAGCAACAAATATGGGCCCTCAATGAGTCACAGATCTCATATTGGTAAGAATAATCAATCACAATATTTGTATTACATAAAGTGAATATTTTGGGCAGTGGTCGTCAAAAATCACACTCTTTAATTCAATTATGAAATTAATTTCTATGAGACAAAAGAAAATAAGAAACGTCCATATTTCTCCCTCCCTTGAGATAACAATGCATAATCCATTCCAACTTCTATATTTTTCAAATGATTCTTATTACAATCAACCTACATGTTCAGGACTACCCTAAGAGCCCAGAGTGGTTGACATGAGCGAACATACATACATGTATATAGTTATTAACAAAGAAACAATATATAAGCATACTGTATCACTCAAATCACTACATCGACAAGAATGTTTTCCCCATCAAATACCCAGGTTAAACCATGTCCATGCTGTTCCTCTCTGTATCCTAACCTGACTGTATGGCAGGGGGGACAACTAGTTGGGGTGAGTGAGTGAGTGAGTGAGTGAGTTGGGTTTAACACCGCTTTTAACAGTATTCAAGTTATATCACGGCGTGTCAGCTTAATGTGGCAGGAAAGCCCGAAGTGATGCAGGTCTCAGACGTTTACCACTTCGGTGAAACCCACGAGCATGGGTATGGTGCTGACAAACCTAGAAACATAATCGGGGCGAACCAGGATTTGAACCCACAATCATAGGTTTCTGGCGTGCCCAAGGGATGCAGCTCTGCACAGCGAATCGCTGCGCCTAAGACGACTGGGCCACCCGTGCCCCCTGACAACTAGTTGGACCATCCACACAATTCAAATTATCCAGATAATGAAGACCCTTGGACATGACTGGTAAAGGACACCAAGTTTTGAGTGAATCTGAAGGATGGTTTTACACCACTAATACTATTCTAGCATTATCACGGCAGAGGACACCAGATATTGCCTTCACACATTATACCCATTTTGGGAATCAAACCCGGGACTACGGTGCAATGAGTGAACGCATTAACAACTTGGCTATCCCATCACCCTGTGAGCAAAGTAAGTGACAGAAGAAACCTGGATGATCTGAAATTCGAACTCACAACCAGTGCATCATGGCACAGCTAAGGGACACAACTCTGCACAAAAGAACTGCATTTGTTTGACCACTGGGCCAATGCACCAGTTCGTTCAAGCGAATAAAGTCTTTATAATCTTATCAGAGGATACGTTGTCAAATGGACAGAGTACATATAGGAACAACATGGACACAAGTTGACCCGATATTCAAGGACGTTACGAAAGTGCATGTGCACCAAATACAACACTGTGCTGACAGTGAAAATTATTACTGATGGAATTATGAAAGACTCAACATTTATGTCAGCTATAAGACTGGGCAACAATACACATCATGTATATAGCTTAGAAAATAGTAAACATTGTAGCAGATCCAAAGCATTAGCGTAAGAAATGCTTGATCAATTGTTAAGGACATCCAAATGTAGAGTCAGGAAATAAGACCAGGGCCCCCTCCCTCAAGGTGATCGTAGCACAACAACTGTCATAAGTCTATGTTGAAGTCAGTTAAAGTTATCAATCACTAAGTGCTACGATCACTTTGTGGAACGGCACCGAGTGCTACAAAAATAGCCTTTGTTGGATTCATGTGTGATAATCCTGGAAGAGAGTACAACTTCATCGTCACAATTCAAATATGTACCGATGATTACAATCAAATTTCACATCGCAAATACGCATCCAAAATCTGGTGAGTGACAATCATTTCCCAAAATTAGTGAAAAGATAAGCTTAATCTACTTACTCCTATAGCACCAGCAGATCCATATTTCATCATTTAATATAACACGGACTGATCACGGACTGATCAAGGACTGATGTTGTGAGTTCTGGAATTTTTAAATGAAGCTCTCTTTCAAAATCCTGAACAAACCCTTATTTTCCATAACCCCATAAAATAAGTTGTGTTCTTTTATGTTATAAGTTGTTGCAGATTTAAACATTGGCCCCATTTCATGAAGGTATGACAGTGCTGTTGTAAAAAATTCAAATAAACCAGAACTGTGTTAATCCAGACAGTTTGTTTGTTGTTTAACGCCCCACTCAGCAATATTCCAGCTATATGACAGTGTTTTGTAAATAATCAAATCTGGACCAGAAAATTGAGTGATTGACATCATGAGCATCAATTGGGATATAATGACATACAATCAACCAGCCACTGAGTCCACCCAATCCAGTTACTCACCTCTTACGACCAGCATAGGTTGCTGTGGGCCTATATTCTTACCCAGAATCCACACGATGTCCAGACAGTTTAAATCCATCAGGACCAAATTAAGTACTGTGCTTCTGAGACAAACAGGACAAGAATTCTTGACACAAGGACCCAACGGACTGTCCATAATAGCAGGTTTCTGGTTTACGAAGGTTCAACAGTATCATCCTAATCCTTAGAAGCGGCTTCATTTGAAAACACAGGACCCCAAACTCAGTCTGCAGACAAAGTTCCTTGTTCACATGCGAGATCTGAGATTCCAATGCGAATGACAAATGTTTGATTATGACATTGAAACGAACAGGGTAACTACACAATATTTACACCACGCAACAGCCATGCAATGATGCGACTGTTCATATGACTAGGCAAGGTAACACAGTGATTGGTCACAGATGTGAGGCAGCAACATGATGCTCTCAGACTCAGACAAGGCCACAACACAATGCTTCACAGATAACAATAAAGTTCAATTATTTCACTGTTTGAAAAGTAAGTTCACAAAATAATACTTAACTATTATGTCTCAAGCAGGAAGGACTCAGGGTGAAAATACATCTTAAAAGAAAATTTGGAGAAAGATCGTTCTGAGCCAGTCCACAATGCACAAACTCCACCACTCTAAATGTTGTGGGAGTCCGACAAAAACTGAAACTTAGCTCAGATCGCTTATCTTTTAATGATGAGAGGTCATCTGGGGGTTTTTCAAAACAAATAAAATTAACTGTTAAAACATCTTTAACTAAGGAAGATGTAACTGTTTATGTAAATCTTAACTGGCAATTTCTACTTTAATTTTCTTTATTCATACACAAGTTATCTCCCTTGCACTGACAGTATCCACCTGCATTACAGCATTGTTAGATACTTAAATAAATAAAATCTTTATTGGCTCGCAAAACTAACAGGTTTTGAGCTGGTGGGGTCTGTAGCTTTCAAAATCCAACTATCCTGCATTCGGTGTGGCTGAGGCCTTGTCTCAGTTTTGAATACAGTCACAAGCAAGTCACACTATCTGTGAAGTGATAACGCGAAAGGGATGAATAGTACTTGCAAAACAGGATAACATCCTTCAGGCCATTGCACTCTGATCATCAACCAGTTAAACAGCTTACGCAAACTCATTTCTGATCTTGGAGTTACAAAATACAAGAAACTGTTTCTTTTAAGGTAAAACAAAGACTGAATCTCAGTCTAAATAGTAATTATAGTGATTTGATCTTTAACCAAGAAAAACTACTTTCTCATATGCAGTGATGCTGCTTATACATTGGTATACTGACACTGGCTGCAAAAATTGGTTTAGAAATGTTAGAAGGGAATCCAGGGCTAGTAAGTAGATGACCAAAATGCAATATCCCCTGTGTGGTGAGGATGATAGTGGATTGGCATGAATGAGATTTCACCACTATATGTGGAAATAGTACTTGATAGGTGTGATAATATAGACAAGATACAAACCCCTCACCTTTCTAAATCAATCCATCTTACTGCAGACAAAATTGAAAAATATACAAGAAATTCATGAATGAAATATTAGCTTTCAACCTAATTTGATCAAGACAAGAATGTTTTAATAGGCTTGTCTACATTATCACACCTTCATTAAAGCTGTCTTAAATCACCCTACAGTGTGAAAGTATACACAAACGAGAATGCTCGTCAAGGGCCCTAGAGCTTCATCAAACAGCCCTAAATAGGTGTATTACATTTCAGGCTGGGCGGACTGTATATTCTTATACATACATTCAACATGATCAAACACCAAGAGATGAAAGAGTCTATTTTCCTCCTTCGTTAAATTACCCTCAATGAATAAACTAACACAGAAAATACCTCCTCAGGCAAGAGTAACAGTTTATGTTAAAATGATATCACAAATATGTTATGCATATAAAGATGGGTCCATTCTGATGATGTTCCTCTTAGGGTTCAAGACAGTGCCTTTGCATCATTCTTGTTACATGTATATGGTTTAAAATGGTGAGCATTACAATACTGATTGGCCACAGTGGTGAACAGTCTTGAAATTGTAAAATAAACATAAAATGTCAATGCCAGAGAAAATTAAGAACCAGAAAATCCATTGACACAATGGAATCGATTATTGCCCAGACATCATATGAGTGAGATTTTTCTCTACATAATAGAACTTTTGCTTTTAATGTAACATGTTAAAGCTCTATATCATCTCATTTTGTTTCCTGGGATGTTTCTACTGTCATTTATGGCCTACAGGTTTACAGCCAAGCAGGCCACATTTCAACATGTCAAGAATGGACAATCCAGTGATCGATATTGTGAGCAATGATCTACACCATGGTTGTATGATGACACACAACCCACCAACTCACCAGGCCTGACCGCCCGATCCATCAGGCCAAGCTAACACACACAGTCAGAACAACTTGCCTGAGAAGGTATCACTGTATAAAGTCTAAAATTGTTTGATGCTACTAACTTCACACAATGACAGATGAAACTTTGAGCATTATAAGCCGTGATATTTGCATGTTTAGCTGTAAATGATGAATGCTTACAAAACGTTGTAACTTCCTGTCGGACATTACCGACGGAAGAGACAAGTCGGTGGATATTGAAGTTGACAAGGTCAGAAGCAACCTGTCCTGAGGCAATTGATGGTGATTGTTAAAGATGTGATTTGTCACTAAGGATGCTAGCTATCAAGCTGCAATTTGTCCAATCAAATCAAAATCAGATCTTATACTCCAATACGAATACCTGTCTGCATGAAGATCGGATAACCCTCAATAGGAGGGCGTGTCCGCTGAACTCTCTAATCAGTGAGTTGGGTTTAATGCCGCTTTTAACAGTATTCCAATTATATCCCGGCATGTCAGCTTAATGTTTCTGGATACAAGTGGGCATTCAGATCAGAATATGTGACTTTCATATCTTGACAACAAATTAAAAACAATCAGTTCAAAATGTAAATAAATAAAGCAGCTCCATAAAGTTGCTGTGGATATTGTATACACTGTCATTTCTGAACTCTGTGACATCTTCAACAAAAAGGGTTTCGATCGAAGAAACAATTGTGCTCTGTTAAAATCAAAATTTCCTAATCGAATTCAAATAAAAATTAAACCAAATTGTTTTCGAAAGCAGACATCTGATTGGCTCAAGAACCCACTCATCATTCAGTCAAAGTTCGCTCAGGGTTCGCCTTAATCAATCTCCATGGAGATGTTATCAGATCTTCACATAGAGAGGTATCACATCACAGTAAAACATCTGACATTTCTGAGATCAGAATCTGTCCACTATCTGAAATGCTTGCACTGGAATGACTATGAACGGGGTACTGATTCTATTATACACCAAACAGAGACTTATCTAGGCTTTTCCAATGCCTCATATTCCCCCAAAAGGGTTCCTAATTTTGATTACAAATTCACAAAGGTATATTCATTTCCCAATTGATTAATTTTCCATGATTTTCAGTTCATAGAAATCAGAACTTATTTGAATAAGGAACATTTTTTAAGGAACATATGGCACAGGTTAAAATTCCTGGATAATTCCCTGTTCCTGGTTATGAACTTTTGGAAGCACCATTCCACAATAACTGTACACAATCTCAAGACACTTTCAAAACATTCATCAAATACGTCCATAGTGACACGATTACTGCTTAGCAGCTGAAAAAACAATGTTCATTATTTTTTTCCGATGTACAAATTCTGAGACAAATTTTCTACACTTTTTGAAACATTCAGATGATATGATGTGCTCACAAGTCTAACATTTCTCAATGATAAAGTACTGCATTAACTCCACGTGAGGGCATAACATTGCTTGTTTCGGTGGCCTATTTGGATATAACTAAGTCTTCATGTAACGTTCACCCTAAAACTGGACTTTATTTGGACACCTTAGGCCATGATTTCACAGAGTATGTTCTGTACATACAAACTAGCCCATCGCTCACAGACACAAAAATATAGCCCTGCATCTCTACACTGGTAGTGCTTGGTGAAGGCTGCAATGTGCACCTTGTTACGGTGGCTGGCAACTCTAGTGGCAGATCCTCTCCGTCATCTCTCTCTGAAAAAACAAGTAAGTGAATAAATAGTTGTAACATCTTCTGTATCTCAAGGTCTTGCTTTAATGTAAATCAAGCGCAGGTAATTTGAGATTGCTAGAACCATGGGAATGGATCCAAGGCCCACTTGCACAAAGCGATCTTAGCGCTAAGACTATCGTAAGCCCATGTAAAAGTATGGGAGTTACGATCATCTTAGCGCTAAGACTATCGTAAGCCCATGTAAAAGTATGGGAGTTACGATCATCTTAGCGCTAAGATCGCTTTGTGCAAGTGGGCCCACGGGTTAGTGTAAGTTTTCTGAAGTGTGAGCCGTGGAGATACAGAGGATGATAGTTGTTAGTGCTACCTGACAAACATCAGCATATAAAACCTTGTCACTAAGTTTACAGTTTCTGAAAAGGCTCACATGACATACTCACACACATACACATGCACTTATGAATATGTCTACACATGTACTTCATCTCACTATACAGATTCAAGAGCAGAGTAATTCTTCATGCATCAACCACCATCAGATCCTGGCACATATGAGGGACACAACTCTACATAGTGAAGTGCAGCTCGATGGACCACATGGACACAGCTATGTCAGATCCTGGCACATATAAGGGACACAACTCTACAGATATAATTGCAGGACTTTGAAACACATGGACACAGCTATGTCCGATCTGGTGCATAAAAGGGACACAACTCTACAGATTGAATTGCAGCACCATGAACCACATGGACAGAGCTATGTCCGATCTGGTGCATAAAAGGGACACAACTCTACAGATTAAATAGCAGCACAATGAACCACATGGACACAGCTATGTCAGATCCTGGCACATATAAGGGACACAACTCTACAGATTAAATAGCAGCACAATGAACCACATGGACACAGCTATGTCATATCCTGGCACATTTAATTGCAGCACTTGGACAGTACATATATGCAAGTATCCAAAGTATCTTACCAATGGTTCTAGTTCCTTCTTATCCACAAGGGTATACTCATTGACAAAGTAGTAGAAGTGTTTGTAGCAGGTGTTTACATGAGCTTCCTGAAACAGACAGAAGGGTATCAGAGACACACTACAACACATTTCACTGGACCATGTTGACAGGTGATTCCATACTTTAACATGGCCAGATTGCTTGGACCAAGTGTTCACTGGTATTATTCTCTCCTAAGTATTCACATTAAAATCAGATCTTAGTTGTTGCTACCACTAAACAAAGATTTGAAGACACGAGTCACATCATAACGGCCTTTCATCAGAGCATCGCTTACCAGATCGGGAAAGTGACTGTCGAAATGTTATTTCTAATCATGCAACCTTGAAAAGGTTAAGGCGGGGAACTCCGAATGAAAGTTACCGTCATAATCATTGTCTATCTCTTGCTTCAATGGGTCCAACATTTGTATGGAAGAGACAGACTTTCTATTGTAGTGCCATACAATCTCGGCTATCTATTAGACATTACAGAATGTTCTTTTGTTCAGTTTTCAAATTTTGCATCAAGAACTGAATTTTGAAAAGAAATACCAAGGATTTTGACTGAAGTCTTTGATAGGCATTTAGAAGTTGGAAGAACATGAAGACATGCAAAATTTATGGATAACAACTTCTTTATTGTTTTTAATGCTGTTTCAAGGCCACTTGTTGCACCTTTATCAGGTGAATGTGTGTCTGTTCTCCATTCACTCACCTGAGGAAGGGGCATGAAATAGCCCTGAATTGTAGTTATAAACAATAAAGAAGTTGTTATCCTCAAAAGTTTCACGATTTTGACTTGGATGCTATTGCTATGAATATTTCAATCTCATCAAAATCAGATCTTAGTTCTGGCTACCCCGAAACAAAGATCTGAGGAAATTGCATTGCAGCTCATGTCAGAATGACCTTCACTAAGTTAAATCGACATTAGCCAATCATGATCAACTTTCTTGAGCTATACAACAATAGTTTCAAACTGGCGACTTCCATATTGGATTATGCTAAAATACAATCATCATTAATATAACTGTTAATGTCGTTTCTTTATGGTTTTACACAACAGGCAACAAACATGACAAATAGGGATTAAATTGTGTAAAAATATTATTGAATTCCAACAATGGCTTCCATAAACTGACCCTCTGAGAGGAACAAGAAGTCACCATGGAAGTCTACTCGCAATAACCAATCATATAGCTATCTTATCCATTTGAAACTAGATAGTACTGTTGGATTACTGCTAGTTTCTAACACTGACAACATACAATAGGTGAAAATGTGCTGAGAAAAGTTTACATACGGCGCCAATGGCGACAAGTTTGTCAAAGTGATGGATGTAGACATGGACAAAGACTCGGAAGAGGCGACTGAGGATTTTCTTCACCACCTGAATGTAGTTCCTGGGAAACTGTGTCTCTGGAACAAGATTCAAACACTGTACCAAATAACAGTTTGGGGTTAATGTATTTACAACAGGTTTTATAGGTGTATGAACAAGGCATATGTTAACATTAATCTGTGTTTTTGTCCACTCCGTGAGATGTGCAATATACCGAGAGGCGGGGACTGATATGATGTTACTAGACTATCATAACCTACCTGCAGAAACGGGGAATATGTTCTCGTAATTAATCTGTGTTTCTATCCACTTCATAAGATGTGCAATATACCGAGAGACGGGGACTGACATGATGTTACTAGACTATCATAACCTACCTGCAGAAACGGGGAAAATGTTCTCGTCATTAATCTGTGTTTCTATCTACTCCATGAGAAGTGCAATATACCGAGAGGCGGGGACTGATATGATGATACTAGACTATCATAACCTACCTGCAGAAACGGGGAATATGTTCTCGTCATTAATCTGTGTTTCTATCCACTCCATGAGAAGTGCAATATACCGAGAAGCAGGGAGGGCTGTGGCTTTCTTGTAGTTTAGACCATCACTCCAGAAGTACTCGTACCTGAAACAAGATGGCAGATTACAGCACCTACCGCTGTGTATCATCTGGGATTTGTCATGAGTAGCACATCATCAAACATGGCCACTGCTTGGTAGACAGTAGGCTTATACATCCATATGTCAGAGACTGTATCGTTCTCCCAAGAAAAAGATGTGATTGTAGATGGCTTGGTCCGATTGACTGTGAAACAGTCTATTGTTCTGCCGTTTAAGTAATTCATGGGTTTCTCACTAGGTGAAGGTCCAAGCTCATTATCATTATCATTAGATAATGACTTTGACCACCGGCCAATGTCATGCTACAGACATGCTTTGTTTGTTGTTTATCGCAACAATCAGCAATATTCCAACTATACAATCGAATCTGGACCAGACAATCCAGTGATTGACATCATAGCGGACCCACAGACTTTAGGACCTGCAGTCCCTGCTATACTCTTCAGGCCCTCACTAAAAATGACTGCAGCTAGTTGTGACGAATAAATGACATGTAAATTTACTGCAGGCCATAAGGACTTTGAAACTACAGGCCTAACACGACATCTACCTGCCACGGGCCTCTGTGCAGACGCTTATTCAAACACTGAGAATATACTTAGCTGACATCTTTGTTGCTTCCGACACCTTCACAACAATCTTAGCGCTAAGAGGGCTTCATGAATAGGCTGACAGCAACCAATGCTAACCAGAATGCCCAACTGCCAAGACTGACTTTAGTCACCAAACAACAAGCCAGTGAGAACTAGAGTCCACAGGGATATAAGGCAGGGATATAAGGCAGGGATATAAGGCAGGGGTATAACGAGCCCATTGATACTCCATCAAGGAAGATAAGTCAACTTACTTCGGTCCTCCCGACATCGTGGGGCAAGTCTGTTCAGTACAGTGCTCACATATTGTACCATACAGAAGGTTAATTCTGTTGAAGAAGTCAACCACTGAAAAATAAAACAAAGTCAAGCATTGGTTACGTGCAATTAATATGTGACCAAACATACCAAGTCTGTTGAGAAATTTCAGTAACATGACTCCAAAGAAGATCAACATGAAAAGGGAGGTAACTCTTTGAAAACATCATTCAACCAAGGCACAACCAATTCTCAGGACATCAAATGAACAAAATCTTAATTTTTCAAAAACCTGAAACAACATCATTTTAGGGTATATTCTTATCTTTTCTGAAACAATTCTTTCTTAAATTATTATATAAAAATTGCATGCTCTTCCCTCCAGGTTGGATGTATCGTATCAACTGTTCAGTCCATTACCATGCACAGCAATCCAGTCATTCATGTCTTCCCCCTGAGGGAGTCGGACGACCTCCTTCAGGTCAATGCCGGCGTTGAGGGAAGCGTTGGCCTGCTTGTGGAGGTTGTACTTCATCGTACCATGCTCAAACTTCTTCCGGGGACGGAAAGTCTGAAATGTTAACATGGTTCGTGAACTTTATTCAAATATGTATAGAAATAAAACCAGGGTGCCGTTGTACAAAATAATCTTACCGTTACGACTGTCGTAAATCTATGTTAAGGTTTGTTTGTTGTTTTTGTTTGTTTGTTTGTTGTTTAACGTAGCACCTGGCAATATTCCAGCTATATGATGGTGGTCTGTAAATAATCGAGTCTGGACCAGACATTCCAGTGATTGACATCTTGAGCATCGATCCACGCAATTGGGATCAATAACATGCATCAACCAAGTCAGCAAGCCTGACCACCGATCCCGTTAGTCGCCTCTTACGACAAGCATAGTCGCCTTTTACGGCAACCATGGGTTGCTGAAGACCTATTCTACCCCGGATCTTCATGGGTCTATGTTAAGGTATGTGAGTTACGATCACCTCAGGGCAAAGATCGCTTTTCTACAACGGCACCCAAGCCCTTAGACGCAGTATGCAACTTTAGTTTGGTTTGGTTTCTGTTTGGTCTCGTAAGAACAGCAAGCCATAGCCCATTTTAACACTACAATGAACAAGATGAACAAGATGAACAAGAACTGATGCTAAAAGCCAAGTTCAGGCTAGTGGACTCAAAAGACTGTAGATGTGGTGAGGTTTCAATGCTTCCTATCTTCCCTTCTCTCACAAATATTTATCCTGTTTACCATGTTTACCATGTTTACAGGCATTTTGTTATTCAATATTTCCTGATTTTGGTCTACTCTTGTCATGTTTTTTCAAATGTCAGACTTTTTTAAAACAAAATCAGCTGAGTAATGTATGTGAACATGCTTTTCAATAAATTCTCTTTGAAATGCTTGATGGCCTTGGGGTGTCATCAGTGGTAGAAACAAGACTGAAGTTTCAGCTTCATAGGTCCAGTGTTTTCTGATTAACAAAAGGCTGCCAGGTGCCTCAAACAAATTTCAGTGACACTATGCATGAAAATTTAGTTTTGAAGAAGATTCTTGAATTCTTATTTTTAGATAAAACATATCCTGCTTTCTCGATGGTTTTGTGCAAAGAATATTCGGCACTACCATAGAATCTAATGGCAGTAAACATGGTAAACAGGTACCTAACACTAATGATTGTAAAGGGGTGATTGATCATAAAGGGGGTCCAAAGGCAGAGGATAGAGTTCGTGGGACCTACCCTAACACAATTATTGAACCCTAAGGATAGATGACCAGTGAAGCAAGAGCCACAGCCACAATAACCAGGTACCACTAAACAGGGACCTTACCCTAATGATCGTAAACAGGGTGATTGATTGTAAAGGGGATCCAATGGCTATGGATAGAGTAAGGTGTAGCCTACCCAAACACAATGAAATAACCCTAAGGATAGATGATCCGTTAAGCCAGAGCCACAACACAAAAACCAGAGACCACAATCCTAATTGATTTTTTGCAAAATATGTCCCATGGTAGATAGTGTTCAGCATGTTCAGCCGGCGACATTTGGATATGTGCAGCGCCAATATAATATATCTAAAATACTACATTCCTGCATTTAATAAAGAAAATTAATGATTTGAAAAAATATAATACATATACCGTATTCGACGTAATAAGCGCCCAGGGCTGCTCTCAAAATTAGAAATAGCGGGCTCTTATTAGAATATTATTTTGGTGGAAAAAACAGAGTTGAAAGATAAATTTCGTGGTTTATGCTGACGGACTGAACTGTTTATATACGACAGATACATTTTTCCAGAATTTAATTGCCCATAATTAATGGTGCATATAACACACGAGTGCGTATTATACACGAATAAATAAGTCTTGTGTACTTTGATCAATCGGAAGGGGTACTAATTGGGATTGTTCACTTGACAATATATAAGCAAATATCCCCGTGGGCGCTTATTAGAGCGGGGCACTTATTACGTCGAATACGGTATATTAGTTCCCATTTATGATCCTTTTAGCCCCTTGAATTAAGTTGAAACCAAACGTAAAACATTGAAAATAAAAGTGCTTTAAACTAGCACTTGCTATAAAATGCGCCGCTGCAGGCTATATTCAGTATCCAAATATTCAAAACTCTTAGCATCGCTGGGCTTATTCAATGGCATTGTGTGTAGAGCTGATAGATCACTGAAAGGAGCTTAAGCACATTCGATGACCCCAGCAACTCTGTTGCTCGGCTGACATCACTATAAGGGCATTGTTTCGCTAGTGTTTTGCAAAAACATTTCACAAATTATGCAGAGCTCCAGATAAGCTGCGTATCTGCGTAAAATACGCATCAGAAATGCAGAAATACACAGTAAAATAAAATCCAAGCGTATCAAATACGCAACGAACATTACAGATACGGTACAAAAATAAAACTTGTGTGTATCATCAAAATATTGTGAAGTAACCCTGCGTATTGGATTAGCAAATCAGCATCTTATTTTGAAATTATAAACGGGCATTCTGTCAACCTTGCCAAACTCCACGATGACAGTTACATCATGATCATTTGCCATCACACTTTCGTGTGGAAGTATCGTGGTATTTTTGAGTCCTGTAAAGCTCTCGAACCCACACAACACCAGTTTGCAGGGACTAGATGAATATTTAACTTAAATACCCACATGTGTAAAAACTAGTGGGTAACAGAAATTTGAATACCCAGATAGAATTACTGATACCCAATGATTCAAAAATGCATGGGTAAAATACCCACAACACCAAAAGCTTATCTGGAGCTCTGATTATGTCTTAGGGTATTGTGACGTGTTTGCAAACTTTTGTGGTGCTGAATTCATAAGGTAGGCCAAAAAGTATATATCCCAAAGACACCAGGGTTTCAAGTCTTTCAGCCCTGTGAAGATCTGTGTGAGAATTGGTCTTCAGAGGCGACTAACAGGATCGGTTTCGCAGGCTCACTGACTTTGTTGATACATATCATCATATACCAATAACATAGATCGATGATCATAATGTCAATCACAGGATTGTCTGGTCCAGATTCGATTATTTACAGACCATCGTCACATAGCTAGATTACTGCAGAGTGCAGCGTTAAACAACAAACAAATACTATGATCCACATTATCCTTTCAGTGTTCCCTCCCACACTTTTCTATCACAAAATCACATGTGTGGCATTAAAAAACAAATAAATTCAAGCCTTTGATTACGTTGTGGTGTTCTATCAAATGCAATATGCATTTTTGTACATATTTAAAAACAGCAAATTAACCCCTGTGATCTGCCTAAAGAGGCCCATACACTTTAATTACAACTGAGAATTTATATATCAAACTTAACTGGATATAATTCCATAAGCATAACAGGTAATTCTGTTGCCACTTTGCCGTAAAGTACACTGAACTAATTCAAAATCGCAAAATTTTAGAGGCTACTTCAAATTGAGAAGGAGGAAGTGTGTATTTATAGGTCCCATGAGGATGTCAAAGTAGGGGGTCAGGCGATCACGGCTGAAATATTCAACGAGGTCGCCTGTGTAGGTCGCCTTTCCAAATCAATTTTAAAATGTCAAGTAAGGTTTCTGTTGAAAATATAACACACGGCTAATGATCTTGGGGGAAATTAGGTGACAACCACGGTAACCAGACTTGTCAAAAAGACTACAGGAAACCCGATGATTCATGCTTCACAACATCGGTTACTTTTGTTATTTTCTCGACAATTAAAGAACATGTCATGAAATGTATTACGATCAGACTATGTTTAAGATACATGTATATAAACATTTACACAAATGGAGCAAGTCGCACCTTATCTTTCTTGAAGAATATCGCGAATGCATCTCTAGCAGCCGCCATTTCGTCTTCTTTTAGAATGCAAGTATCCTAACAACTCCTATCCAATGTTTGTTGTGACTAACACCATGAGATGGTCTATCACATTCGATTTGCATACAGTAGCTTTTTCTATAATACCCACGATCCTATTCATAGCAAACGCCAACATTGAAGACGTTTTTTTTTAAATAAGTGGATTATATTATAATTATATCTGTTATTAGCTGTATACGGGCCTATCTTTTTTCTACCTTTGGTTCACTCATGCCCTCTTTTTTTTAAACCGGGGATCGATTTAAAAAACCGTAATATCTTGAAAGTTTGCTAGGAACGGTGAAACAAATTGGAATAAACGTAACCCTTAGACCGTTTGGTGTGTTTGAACGACATCAAAGAGTGGCAATTTTTTTAACTCCCAACAGATATCAATCTGTTTGCGTTATTGCTGGCTGTACAGGAAACGTTTAAAAAATGTCAATGATTTGTTTCAATAGTTTTAAACCTTTGTTATCCAAGTAAGAAGTAGCGTACATGGATATAGGCTAAATGGCGAATTAGCTTACCTATGTAAATTCACAATTTACACATTGGTCCAAATTTGTGTAGGTAAAAAGGGACGATTGGCTGTATTTATATTGCGTCCCTGAACGTGGAATTGGGTTAGACGTCATACATGCACAACTCTTAACCCCGTACCTGGACATAGAAAAACATAAGTTTAATCTGTTAAATCAAGTTTAATTACCTGGGTCAATCTATCAATAACAGATAACTCCACAAAGAAAACATCTCAATTTTACGTTTACACAAGCCACTTCAGGGCCTACTTGCACAAAGCGATCTTAGCGCTAAGATGATCGTAACTCCCATACTTTAACATAGGCTTACAATAGTCGTAGCGCTAAGATCGCTTTGTGCAAGTGGGCCCAGGTGGGCACCAGACCATGAAGACTACGTTCTTCCGTCTGAGACACCTTCTCCAGATTGCTCTTGATTTATGTCAGTTAACACGGCGACACAGTTGTCATTTGGTACAAATAGATAAACAACAAAATATACATAATGAAAACAACAAAACTTATATCGGTACCGTTTCGGATCTCGTTGTATAGCAAGTATAATTAGTTGTTACGCTATTCTTATATCTTGCTAAGGTCAAGTTTCGTATCCCGTATGGTGAAAACTACTGAACTTTATCATTTAGTTCTATGGAACTATAGTAATAATCGTTTTAATCAATAATTTGATAATAAAACATTTTTAGGTTAAATGATTGCTTTTTTATTTATACGAAAATAAAATTATTGGCAACAGCTTTACTTGATAGCTTTGCGTTGATAAATATTCTGCGTGGGTTGATCGGATAAAATCAAATGTAAAGCAAGGGTTTCCGGCTCTATTGCACGAAATGGGTAAGAGTATTTTGACTTAATTTGTTGTTGTTAACCCAAATATCCTTGACGTGTTATTTCAACATACATATAATCTGTATCGTACCATATCGGTCCCGTCATACGGACCCCATCTGTGAGCGTTTCTGAAAAGATGTCTGCTAGGCTGTGAGACAGCTGACGGTCGTCCTGTGAAACTTTTGACAAGTGATGGAGATTATGACACAACTCTCTTTTGAGAAAATACAACTTCATCATTTGAAGTAAATGGTTTTTTATTCAACAGTAGTTGAAATTGAATGAACACTAGTTTCTTTTGTATTTTCCTGGTTATATTACACAAGCGTATTCCAATCCATTAGTGCCATGCAATGACTCGGAATGCAAGCGTCCCGGCATCGCCCTCTTAAGTAATAGTATGCCAATTAACTTAGACGAACTAGCAACTGTGACAGGTATTTAGTTTCATTATTACCGCCAGTACTTTTCCACAGTTTACAGGGTAAGAAACTAACAGTTTTCGTCCACTAGTCCTTATAATGATAACGTATAGCAAAACCCTTAAAAAGGGCACATTTCTACTAGTCCTTATGATACCTTTACCATTGGGCAGTTTGGCAAGGACTAGGCCTACAGGACTAGTGCCAATTTCTAACCCTGGTTTACTGTTAGCTTTCAACATGTTCAAGCATTGCATTTCAAATCTATGATGCCCAGGTGTGAATTCAACATCTCTAGCAAGAGTAGATTTTGATAGTCTGAAGATATATTTCATTGCAGAATCAACTCTCGCATCTAATCAAAGGTACATGGTCAGATGTGTTAGTTAACTGGAGCTGTTAATTTGAAAAATGTTTTACAGTTTGATAAGGGAAAATAAGTCAGAAAATTTGACATTCATAACTACCCTAAATATACAAAAGGGTAACCCTTAGCATGCTGAAATTGTGACAGGCAAATAAATACATTTTAATGAAACTCCCTCATCGAATACTTGTCTAGGACAACTAGAAGCTGGACCCTGCGATACCTTTCAGCTTTATGTACCATACTACACCATGAACACTACTACCTGAGTACCACCTGTGTTTTGTGTTAAGTGTCAAGCTTCCTTGGGCTTGTCATTATACTGTGGGTATTTCAAGATTATATTTTCATGTTCCTTTCAGGTTTTACAGCAAAACATCATTAATTTAATGTAAAATTGTGATGCAGTCATCAGATATGTGAAATTTATTTATTTAGACTAGTTTATACATCTTTGTTTCAACTTTTGGTCAATTTATGAGACCAGGGTGCAACCTGATTTTGCCTAGGATTTCTTAACAACATGCACCTGGTGCAAGTCATTCAATTTCCCTTACACTGATATATAGTACACATCATTAAACAGCGTTTGACACTAAAATTGACTTCTAAAACAAGTGAAGTGATTTCAATGGGGGAACTTGTTGATTTTGGTTTGACTTGAAACAGAAGTCTATCACCATTCTGTACATAATCAGCTACCTAGGCAGCATGACATACTGTATTCGACGTAATAAGCCCCCCGCTGTAATAAGCGTCCACGGTGATATTTGCTAATATATTGGCACATGAACAATCCAAATTAGCACCCCTTCCGATTGATCAATGTAAACAAGACTTATTCATTCAACTCAATCCTGTGCTATATGCACCATTAATTATGGGCAATTAAACTCTGGCAAAATATATCTGCCGTACATAAACATTTCAGGCTGTCAGCATAAACCACAAAATTTATCTTTCAACTCTGTTTTGTTTCACCAAAATAATATTTCAATTAGAGCCCCCTATTTCTAATTTTGAGAGCGCCCTGGGCGCTTATTACGTCAATTACGGTATATATTTTTTAAGTTTATGTAATTTAGTTGTCATTGTAACACAGGACCAGTCAGGGTTTTACCTTGACTTACAAAAGTGTAAATTGATTATTTTTAAGGGTCCTTGCAGGCAATACAATGATCCTGTAAAGTAATGAAATGGTGTAGTGTCACATACCTTTTCATAATTACTTGAGAGCCTGAATGAATCCGTGGTCATGTGTTCAATAGTCGTGATTGATGGATGAAATAACAGACACCCATAACTGCTCATCAAGCACTGTAGGTACAATGAACAATTATTGTGCATCCCTCGGGACACAGTATATTTGTTTTTCTTCATTGATCCTCTACATTTGTGAGCACTGGACGCACATTTGTGCATCGTGCAAAACCCTGACCAGTAGATTTTTCACTCTTTGGACTGCCAACAAATTCTGGTCAATGTTAAACATGGTAAAGGTTATAAAAGTGTAACCATGAACAGTCTATGTGAGAAGGGCCTCATTGTAGTGTGTGACACGTGATTATTTGTTATCGATTTGTACTTATAATCATGATGATATTAGACAAGTTTTTTGCATGAAAGTTAATGTCTAGTTATTTTTGACATTATGCAGTTTCATTTAGAATGACCTATAAAGGTTTGACATAATCAGGCATTTATCTAGACCTGCTCAGGGTCTGATATTCCATTCTAAGTCGGTGGCAAAAAATTATGTCAGTGACAATTCCCAAAATGGAATTAAAAAATTTCCAATTCATGTTAATGTAGATGCAGTAATGTTGTAGAGGTGATATAACAAGATAAGGAAGAGGAATGGACTTTAATGCTTAGTTTTACATTACACTTTACAGCACTGAATAGAGTGTTAAACTACATACGATTTTGAAAAAATCACATTTTTTAATAAGATATTGTTATTTCAAAATTTGGCTGCCAAGGGCATTTAGTTTGGAATCCTAGATAAATCCCTGATAATGCAGAATGATAGATTCTCATCAACAAACAGCTGCTGCAGATTGTGATAGTTTTTATGTTATGTTCTGTAGCAATGCATTCTTGATAGGATATGAAATATTGTATTACTTTGAATGGAGAGAAACATGTTACTTGCTCGTGTAGCAACCTTGGACATTTTGTGGTTATTCAAGATAGTTTTCATCATCAAATTCAAACTGTTTTATTCTAATATTTCCAGCACTGAATTACCATATTTCTTCAACCAATTTTCTCAGAAATCCAATGTCCACTTTCTGAAATTCTCTTTCATAATCATTTCAGTAGATTTTAGTCATTATTATGCATTATTATTACCTAATTCAACAGATATAACTAAAAAAAAACACAAGAAATTTAAATGGATTCCAGGGTTTGAGTCTAGAGACGAGTAAAATGTAGGAAGGACTAGGGACATTTTTTCTACCATTAGGTAAAATGGCAACTCTGAAGTGAAAATAAAAATTATTTTCTCGCCCTATATTCCGGCATACATATCACGATAGTGAGGTCGTGATGCAGAGTGAAATGAAAGATGCTGATGGTGGATGATCAAAAAGTTTGATGTGAACAAAGATATCCATGTTTTTGGGATGGAATTTAACAAACATGATGCCAAACACAGTAACATATTGCAATGCACTTAAATTAACTGTGCACAGACACCATATGCAAGCATACTAATAACTTTGTAATGTAACATCTTGAATTTATCAAGAAATTGATGATAGACGTCTAAACTTTGATCATGATTGATATATCAGTGAATCATACTACCCTAAACATGCTATGCTCCGTGTTTATTACAGACAAACGTTTCTCGT